TATAAGTATAGTATAAGTAAGGTCTAAAAGATTTCTAATATATAGATAAATAAAATAAAGTAAATATTAAGTGCACTCTCTAGTGCACTTAATATTTACTACCTCTTTTACCTACCGTTTTTATACCTCTGTATATAAGGACCTCTTGATTGCTATTACATAATCCTCACATAACATCTTGCCACCGCTAATGCAAAGTAAATGATAATTTACGTAAGAAAATAAGTAAAATTGTTATATAATCATCTAAAAAACAATACATGAATTACATAAATCACTTTGCTAATAAACGCTATGCATGACAAATCTTAAATAACTCTTATTAATGGAACTATGATGAGTTTGTACTAGAATCTAGTCATACTTAGATCAAGGAGGCATTTTAACATACTTAGTAAATGGCTAATAAGGGGTAAATGTTAAAATAATAATTTGTAATTACCTACGTATTATATTTATAGGGCACCGCGTAGTACCAAATTTTAAAATGGTTTGATATTAATAAATATTAACTAGGCAAAAAAATATTTGAAAGTAGTACATACAGTTGGAAGAAAAAAGTGCATATATTTATGATATTTTGTTATTTTTAACTATATAAGAAAATATATTATATGGTATAGTAGTAGTAGGTATATTAATTATACTGTATACGAGATGTACCTTAAAACCTAAACCAACCTTAACTACCTTACCTATGTCGGATTAATTATTCGATTTGAGAGCTGATTGGAAGTATCGGCTCAAGTATTCCGATTTAAAAAAAAATTACGGTCATAAGAACAAGACGTAGTCGATTTCAAGCCTCAGCGATAAATTCCAGCTACTGAAAAATAAAACATTAGTTAGATTTATTTAGATAAGTTCTGAATCTTTAATCTATTGTAAAATGTGATTCGATCAAAATGTCCATTTCGAATAATTAGGTTCCTTTTGTAATCTGTTGATCGAGTAATTTGTAACAGCGATTGGTCAGAGCGGGTCATGGGAGCGGGCACCTGTCAACCGTTGTCAATTGTCAACCGGTGCGGTTATCTATGCCTTAATAACAACGATTACGATGCGGGATTTAAAAAAAACTATATCTTGATACAAAAAGAGGCTATCTCGTTGTTAATTACAATAGGAATAGGTATATCTACATACAACAGCGGACAGTAATTGCTAATAATTAATTGAATTTGAACTAATCTTTTATAGTTTGTAGATACCATAAACTTATCTATATATATAAAAGAAAAATGGTCTTCGTTTGAGGCTCCTTCACGCCTAAACCACTGATCGTATCGACATGAAACTACCACCATTCGATGCGAAATTTTTCCTAGATAGTTTATGGCTATTTATTTATTAAATACCAACGTTCCTTCATTTTTTATTGCTTACTTTTATGAAAATTTATCCATACGGACTTCACCGCGGAAACATTCGGGGAGGCTTCCTAGAACCTCTAAACGTCAACATCGGTTAAAAACTCGATTTTCGAAATATTTCAATTTTCTTAGCGGGAAGTTAAAAAGAAGAATAATAAAAATATGAAAAAAAATAAAATAATGAAACATAAAATTTATTTTAATTCGTCCAGCAAAGCGGGCGCGAAACGGCTAGTGATTCTATATAAAGAATATTCTTTTTCGCACACATGAAGACATTCTTGTGCTTTAAAAGGTATAAGGTATACGTACAATAATGTTTTTAGATGGACACAAAAGCCACTCCTTGAAATACGGCGACGTTTTTTTGTATCTAAAACATATTACTCAAATAAATAGAGAGCTTATCCAAAGCGCTAGATAAACCCTATATCATATAATATTTCCAATATGTTTTATGAAGCAGCTTTACGGTATTAAGAGGCGAGTAATAATATTGACAATATAATCTAGGTGAGCCACCATAAAGTGAATATTATCTGTGTAAATCCGACTTATGTAGCCTGTCACTTTATGTGGTGTAGAAAAATGCACTAAATAAAATTATAAATGTTTACTTTATTTCCAATTCAAAGCAAAATATCTGTTATATACTGTAATTATCAGTGACGCCACACGAAAATTCGAGAGCCAATATAATGGAGGAAACAGCATATTCATAAGACATAGTTTTACAACCGACTTATACGCATTCCTAGGCTCTCTTTACACTTATGTACCTAAGTTTTATGAGTCATCTTCGCAGCACTAGGAAGTGCAGGATAATATAGACTTACGGTCCATAAAAACATCATGTTCTATGATGTTTGTCAGGATTAATGCAAATCGCTCGCTGCTAGGAACTGAGTTAGAACTATTTTATATTAAACTGGAACTGCCTGAGATAGGTACTGTTTTAGATACAATTTAAATAAAGTATAAATATAAGCTCTTCGCATTTATATATTTATGGTTTTTAATTCAATTGAAGATTATCTTTAGTAAAAACTTTTATAAAAAACTAATCTAGAAATTACCTGTTGATTATTATCCTCAATGCTCCATCACCTTTGATATTTGACATAACGGTGTCGCAATCATTAAAAAAACGTCACCTAGACAAGCAATGCACCTGCAATACCATTAAGCCAATATTAACTGCGGAGAATCTCTTCCTCCCTCGAATTAATATCGAATCAATCCGCCATTAAAGCAACGGTCTCACGCCCCGGCAAATTATCTTTCACCCCATCAGGAAGGTGGAAAGTCTAATAGAAATCGGTAATAAGAAACGCTAATCGTGCACGCGTCTGTGGACAGTTAGAGCGCCATCTTGTTGCGAGCGGCAAAAACTTATATTGGATGTGTCAAGGTATGATGGATGTTGGCGCGCAAAAAGCGTCGCGTACGGAACCGATCGTCACGGAATGCTACTGCGTTACCGCTTTCTAATCGATCTTTCGTACCGTAATATCGTTGATGCTAACGGATCATTTTGATTCTCCTGCTTTTGTTCGTTTATAGCTTCTTTTAGTATTTTTTAGTGGTGCGATTGATGCAACAAATGATTAAATAAATTAAAATTAATAAATAATTGATTTGATTTGATAAAATTATTTCATAAATGCCATGCGAAGAAATGTGTATTTCATTTTGTCAATTTTGTACATTCGAAATTCAAATATCAATGTAACGAACACTTATTCGTACGACAAGAAATATTGTATTTGTGCATTTCCAATAATCTTGCTTAATATTTCTTTACAAAATATAATGTTAATTAAATATATTCATGATATAAATGATGATTATTAGGTATTTTATCTTGCATATACTCAATCAAAGCGCGCCCCAACCACTTACCTAAAAATAAGTGACCATCAAATTAAAAGATAGAGCCATCACTAGTCAATTTCCTGATATGGCAACACTTGAACATGAACTAATGAGGAAAGCCGGGGAACTAAGCAAGTCATTACTTCCACCTGGCTGTTCGCACGGACTTTCATTTCATTTATTACCTACTAAAGATACAGCGTAATGAAAAATTCCAATGTTTGATATTGTTGAATAACATGCGCTGTTTTATATACCTACCTATTATTCTGTGAACTCTTATCTCTAATGCTCTTAAAAGCAGCCGTCTAAGCTTTTGATGTTAAAAATGTTAAATCTACGATCGCAGACAGAGGAAATAGAATTTGTATTATTAAATTTATAAGAGATAAAATTATAAATATTTCATTTATTTTACTAGAACAAAAGATAAAATGGATTAATTAATATTTAAAATTATCTCACACTTGCTGCAAGAAGTAGGTTTTCTATTTCAGGTTACTACGTGGATTTCAACCACGAAACTTTATCTGAGTCATTTCTTTTCAAACCTAAAGAAAACATTAAACGAAAAATTTCAAATATGGAACGCCAAAAAAATCTACAAACCATCAATATTTTGACACGTAACATCTTGCGCATCAGCATAATCATAGATTACCTAAATTGCAGTATCCTTCGATTTTCAGATTACAAAGTAGTCATTGCCATATTAAAAAGTCGGCGTTAGACAAACCCTCTAAGGGTCCACTGGCATTTCAGTAAAAAAACTATAGAATATCGATTGAGCGTCTAATGGCGTAATTACTAGTTTCCCGCTAAAATTAACGCCTCGAAATTCAACTGGGCTACTATTTACACATTATCTTTGACAGACCATAAAGGTTATAATTATTTTTTTAGAAGTTGCGTTTTGGATAATCGTAATGGATTTCATAACATGTGGTTTCCGTGCATTCTGTTAACATTTCAAACATCTGTCTATTACAATATTCCTCCGACTTTAAGATATTGGTTTATTTCACATTGGTTTTCCATAATATACTATTTCGATTGAAAATATAACAATACATGTTATGTATCATAATAAATTTTTTTGGAACTTTCTATACGCCGAAACGTATTATATCTTAAAATATTATAAGATAAGCATGGCATAAATATGTTGTATAGTCTAGATTCCAGAGTTAATGTGTAAAATTAATTTCAACTATAATTATAGGTTCGATTTTTAAACTTAAAACTAGTAATATCACTTGCATGGAACAAATGGGTTTTTAAACAATTACTGGCCGTTTTTGCTGTGGGCGGGTTGAAAAAACAAATTACACGTACTTCCCTGTAGTGAATGAGACGTTTCTCGGTAAAACAAACAACGTATCGATGTATGTCATTATTAAACAGCCATTAAGTTCACGCGTCTGCGGAATGCCGCATCTGCAACACTTTGTTAATGATATAAAGTTTATGGATACGATTGAGGTGTTGCTATTTAGCCTAGTTTAACCTAGTTATGGAGAGCTCTGGTTTCACATTTTCTTAGGTAGGCTGAATTTTGATTAGTTTTTTAGAACAAAATGCATTGGTGTGTCTAGAGATATTTTTCAGGCGCTCGGGCCGTGGCCCGTTAGGTGTACGGTCTAGGTTTTCAGACATACTGGCCTATATGGTACATTTTTTTTTAATCAAATTCTTGTAGGAATTTTAAGTTCGTTAAGACACAAATTAATAATAAAAAATGTTTATTTCCAGCAAGTGGCAACACCGACCGTCGTGAAAAAGATACTGCGTCTCAAGCAAGAAAACCCTGGTATGTTTGCGTGGGAAATTCGCGAAAGACTTCTCAGCGCGAGAGTGTGCGAGCCGCATTCCATACCATCGGTGTCTTCTGTTAATCGGATTTTGAGGAACAGTGGCCTGGCTTGGAGTGATGATGAACCTAGGAACCCTCATGGTACGTTTTGTCTTAGTTTTACATCTGCGACTCATAATATATCAAAATTGACTGAAATAGCTCCAAAAATAACAAGGATAAAACTATCCTATATTATAGTCATTATATACAATAAATAATCGCTTTTAATCATGTGATGAGAGAGCGAGACAGAGATACTATTTTTTAAATACAGAAAGAACAAAATTTAATGAAATATACTGTTATTACCAATAAATTAATTACGATAATAAAAACTAAATTATAAGAACAATCTCAAGCTGAGTATGAATACCAATCGCTTAACGCTCTGTTATAAATTTTTGTATTAATTACTTGGACTTACACCTTTCTTGTCGCTATTTAAATAATTATATAAAAACACGTGACATAGTTCCGCTAATGTAATCTAATATGTGTAATATGTTACACTAATTTACACTCGTGGACATATACTTAGACAAGCATCTATCAACTCGTTTTCTGTTAAAGAAAGCTAGTATTTATTTCTGCATTACATTACATTATATGACAATTACTCTGAGATAAACAGGGTTTCGTATGTATAAGTATCTTAATAAACTTCTATGTGTTACAAACCAAAATATGTATATTTGCATAGTAAAATAGTAGTATTTTATATTTAAAAAACATTTACTATAAAGGTTAAAACATTGTGTCTCTTACAGTTTAAGAAGTAGTTCATCACAAAAAATAGATTAGTCGAAATTATCTTATGAAATACTTATCTAAGTATTACTATACTACAATTATTAATAGTAGTTATTATTAGTTTAGTGAAACTTTTTGTGGATACATCTAATGTGTTTATTTTATCTTTTATTTTTTTAACTTTTTTTTATTGTATTGTATAAATAAATATTTCAATTGAAACATAATAAAACACACAGTTAAGAGATCACGTGATGAATTGTGATCTTATCGCTAAAAACGATTACTTTCAACACGAACGAATGAAGATTGATAAAAATATGATTAAAAAGTACGAGAAATACAGCTGCTTATAAACTAAGAAAGCCCGTATGACAAAATACATTTGCCTTTATTAAAATTAAGTAGATTTCCATATTGGTTCAGGATGTTCATTATCTTCTTATCTGTCAAGGATTGATTGATATGTTAATTAAGCAAGGAATTGTAACAGAATAACATTAACTTTGCAATTAATTATAATAAATGCTGTTGAAAAAATAAAAATCACGGCGCATAAAAGGCGAGTCGTTTCTGGATTCGGTGCAAAAAAGGAAAAGAATAAATATAGATCAGTCTTAATTAATTGCCCGTGAGTTTATTTACACTGTGAAAGGCATTAAGCACCTTGAAACAAAACTCGTAAACTTAACTCGTAAAATATTTTGAAACATAGACAGGTGTAAATAAAGTAGGCGCTGTATAAAGGTACATATTATATTCAAATAGGTACTACATTAATTAATTCAAATTATGTCGCGTTGTATAAAAGAAATTAATTAGTTAATTAATTTATGTTATTTAAGTCGTGTGCGGCTTTATAATAAGTGTTATTTAATTCAATGTATGATTATTAATTATATAAGTATTACGTTCAGCTATTGCCGTAGAACCCCAGTTCGAGTCCTAGCTTAAAAATATTCTTGGCCTTCAAACCTGTTTGATCATTAAAACAGATGCAGAAATGGTCTTTTTTTTTTTTTTTTTTATGGCTCTGGCACGATTTGTGCATTAGCCAGCGTCAAGTATAGGACTTTTTATAATTCGTGCTCGTCTTTTAGAAATTCGACAGTGCCCTTTATGTACGGTTTAAGCACTCGCCCGGTACCGCACAACCCTCCCAAAGGCCGAGAACAAATTTGAATTAAATTAAAACTTGCCCTCGAACCGGGAATCGAACCCGGTACCCCTCACCTAGCTGCCACTTAATAAGACCGCTAGGCTATGAGGCCCCAGAAATGGTCTTAAACTTAAATAATGAAAATTCGGGTTAATGATTGAGTTTTGTATTATTAAAACTCTTTCTTGCATGCTGTTATGTTTCATCTAGACATTTCAAAACGAAAAGAGACGGCAAATATTTTGGTTCCTTCCTTTGTTTTTTTTTTAATTTTATAAGCAATAAACATATTAATCGAAATCGGACAGATTGTGTTATTTTAGTTAATAACTCATAGTTCTAAATGTCATTTTTTGAAATTAATCATACCGTCTGACATGTAGAATATCCAATAATTCACCTCACGTGTCAACCCGTAAATTATTTAACATTTTCTTTTATTAAGGGCTATTGACAGCGCTTGGCATTTGTTTTAGATCATAACGTTGTCCATTTTATGAGCATGTTTAACTTTCGATGTCATATTTATTGACAACATTGTCGTCCAGTGGTTATGGCTGTCGTAAATTTAATTATATTAGCAATTTCGTTTTGAATATAATTAATGAGTTTAAAGGCACCTCGGATAGAACGAATGATTTGTTTTTGCATCTCTTAAGTAAATGCTTGTTGGCTTTTGCTCCTTTTTTAAAATTTTGTTTTTAATACTTCTGGTTACATCAAGGCAACGCATTGTATATTCTAATGTTTAAAGTATAACCCTATATCCCTGTTTATATTTTATTTCTGCTCATGGGTCAACAAAACTGGTTTGAACACTATAAATATACTATGTATAGTTTGCATTCTTACACGTGTAGTGATTTGTTCATTAAGTACCCAAAAATAACAAATGTCTTTTATTTTCTAGAAACCTACGCACAACCAGAAATAACACAAAACATGATGGACTACATGAAGAATATGCCCCATACTCTACCGCAGCAAACACCTTACTTCCCTCACACCGCAGTAAGAGTTCCACCACCGCAAACTGATTACGACAGGCGTCTAGCTACCACTTGGCTTCTGGCCAACCAGCAGGCGCAACTACTCAAGCCATACCCTATATCCCCCTGGCAGAGAGTCATGATGCCCTACCCAGACACTAAAACCTTCTCCCCCTACTCTCTAAATATTCAAGAAAGGCCAGACGAAGTCAAATCTGAAACGTCAGAACAAATATCAGTCGAAACCAGTGATGATAGCACTGATAGGCCTGACACCGACGACCAAGAATCAAAAGTTAAGGAGAAAAAGAAAAATCCATATTCTATCGAGGAGCTCCTGAAAAAACCAGATAAAATTGTCAATACTAATCCTATAGGGTTCCAGAATTTTCTTCGGCAACCGAGCGGCAGTTTTATAGAGTGCGAGAAGACCTTAAGCAATCGAAGCTCGCCGGCAAGTTATTGCTCTGTGCAAAGTGGAGGTTCGATTGATTGCTCTGTGGAATCGAGTTCCGAAAAGAACTAGTCTATGTTGCCAGTTGTAAAATCTCTTGGACATTAAATATTTAACCTAAAGACATTGAGTGTAGCCATATTAAATATGTATCTTTGCCATAATTTATGCGTTCATTAGCATTGTGTAGCTATAAAAAATATTTAGGTAATTTATTTATATGTAACTTATTATTATTTTATTTATAAGAAAGTTTTTAATGTATGTTAGTCTAGTTTTAGAGATTATTAGTATATATGTAAATACTTCTAAGAGTTTAATCATAATACTGGTTAAATGTTAAGTACTGTAACAAAATATTTAAAATAAAAGTGATTAATGAACATTCCAATATTTAAATATAAGATTGATATAATGAAATGTTGACGACTGAAATAATATACACATAAATAATGATTGCAGTACCTATGTATTGTAACTATGTATTTTAACACACTTAAAAAAAATGTTTCGTGTTTCTTTGATAACCTATTTTGCATAACGTCAACGTTACTTTTGTAATAAATACATGAAACACTAATTAATAATTATCTTCTGTATAAAAATCGTATGTACATAATACAATTAGGTGTATAAATATATTTTAGTAGCACAATAAACCAAATATCAAAATTATTGTTTCTTTTTTGAAAAAAAAAATATGATCAAGTCAAAACTCGCCCATATTAATAGAGTGTTAGTATTATTTTACGTCGCATAATTACAAGATTTGTATGTAAATTCTATTGCAATGCGCAAGAAAAATGCTAATTCATATAGAACCTCAGTAATTTCATGCAAAACTAATGCCTAGGTAAATTATAAAGCGCAACATTAATCATTTATTGAAATGAAATGATACAATTCACTATGTAGTTTTTTCGTGTTCTATGGTATATTTAATGGCGCCTACAGTCCCGTCCCATATTACAAGTTCGACAGACGGTATCGCCACTCTCTTCTTTTGTGGACTATTCCTAATTAATTAGCATTCTACGCCATTGAATCAGGGACTAATTTAATTACTTCTATTTTGTTACTTGAACGAAAAAGGGCCATTGACAAAATGAGTACTAACATCATTTCGAAACTAAAGTGGGAAAGTGATTTTGTCTTAAGCCCCTTTGCAAAAAAAAATTTGTCAAAATAAGATCTAATAGTATTCGGTTATAGAACCTGAATGTGTAGACCCGCGTTGTGCTATAAAACGATTAAAAAATTAATATCGACGAACGTGACTAAAATTTCCTGTCCAAGCTTAATTTTCTGTCTGAAGAAAAAAGATGAATATTCTTGGATTCCAAAAAGATTACACGAATAAGAAAGAATTAATAACAAGTACATACTATGACTTTATCCTAAGATACGATGCTATGCCGTACGGCTGCCTATGTGCGAAGATATTTTATTATTCTTTAATTCTATTGATTTAAGGACTAAGGGATGAAAAGCATTATTTAGGTACATTATCTTATAAGCGTCCAGAATAACAAAAGAAACATTACAATAAATATATATATTTTTTATCGAAATAAATTAATATAAAGTCGAGGAGAACGCAAACAATCAACAAATAATATTATTTAGCTATTAAATATATAAGATTTATCTTTCTGGTCTCATATTATCTAAAATGTATTTAGGAACATAGTTAAAACGGAAAACCTCAAATATTATGATCATATATAGGTATTCACGGTACATTTGAATTTTGAATAGATCTACTCAGTCAAAGTATTAACTCAAACTTTTTTTATGGCTCTGGCACGATTTGTGCATTAGCCAGCGTCAAGTATAGGATTTTTTTTATAATTCGTGCTTGTCTTTAGAAATTCGACCGTGTCCTCCATGTATGGTTTAGGCACTCGCCCGGTACCGCACAAGCCTCCGGCCGAGAACAAATTTAAATTAACTTAAAACTTGCCCTCGAACCGGGAATCGAACCCGGTACCCCTCCCTCACCTAGCTGCCACTTAATAAGACCGCTAGGCTATGAGGCCCCTAAACTTGTAGTTGCTTGACAAATTGATGTCGATTATCAATTGTCAAAAACAAAGTGCCAAAATTGACAAGATAACACAGTCATAATTGACATTCACGAATAACAACACATGTGAAGTGTTAAAATTGTTGCATTGTGTGTTGTTTTTGTATTATCAATTTTATCTTAAAGGTAATTTATGAAATTAGTTGTTTGTTTCTGAAAATAGCTATAACTTTATATTTAACCGCGTTCACTGTCTGCTTATTAAAATAATTTGTATCATTAATACTTTTTTAAAGCTCTGTAAAATAATGTTAAACAATAAGAGAAAGTCTTACTATCAAAAAGAGTATAAATGAACTATTATGACATTGATATATTATTTCAGTGTATATTTCATGTAAACAAATTATGTTGTTTTAAAATTTACAGTTATTGTGAGTATACAACAATAGGTCATACAGACATATGTATTTAATTCTGAGCAGTTTTTGCAGTCTTTACTCCACATATTTTTTAAACTGCAATGGATACAGATGATAATCTCACAAAGCAGGTGAGGGTTACCTACCAAATACTGTTTATACTTACAGATTTATATTATACATTAACATTAATATATATTTCTCTTACTTTGCAAGATTGAAGAAGTTGAGGCTCTCACATCGATCTATACTGATGATTTTATAATTGACAGTGAAACACACAGGTCATATAGCATTAAAATTAAGGACAACAATAATGAAGTGATATTAAGTGTGACTATGCCATCAAACTATCCACTTCAAGCACCTCCTAAATATGAGTTCTCAGCTCCTTGGATGGATAGAAAAGCAAAAGAAAATCTACGATATAGTTTAGAGGAAGTTTATTTGTATGTTATTATTTACCTACATTTTATGTAACTAACTTTAGCATTGATGCCGTAAGCTAAATGTGTCTAAAAGTAAAATGTTCATAACTTTATGCTTAACATTGGTATAGATATTTGGTTTGTACTACAAACCTTGGTCAATTAAAGAAATAGATGTTTTAGTCTTCCTGTTTAAACTTGAAACTATATTTTTAACAGTATATTAGTTTAAAATAGAGTAAGTGGGCACTGCTATCAAAATATTAGGGTAATTCTATATGGAATTTATGTTTCAACAAACATTGAAACAGAATTTCCAGGTATAATATTGATGCAGGTATAATAAAAAATATGAAAAAATTCTGTTACAGAGAGAATATTGGTGAAACTGTTATATTTCAATGGGTTGAAAAAATAAGAGAAACATTACAAAAAATAAAGCCACAGAAAGAAGATAAAAAAGAAAAGGCCATTGTTGTAGAAACATTAGATTTGTCACAGGTATTTTCAATTTATTTATCATTCTAAAACGTGTCTTAATCTCATCAAAGATTGTTTTTTCTTAGAATATGTTTTAATATTTCTAATTTGTACATCTTTTTCAGTTCCTTTGTAATAATAAATTTATTTTCATCAGTGGTAAGAGAATGATCTTATAGGAAATAAATTAAAATTGACTATCTGCAATGTTATATAATACCTATAATAATTTTTGTAGCAAATCTCATTTGTGAATAATAATATGGATTTTGTAAGTTTTTATGTGTAAAAAAAAAAGAAAAAAAAACATCACATCTACATCTACTAAAATATAAATGTTTTCCAATTGTAGCTAAATATAAACTGCCCAGATATAACACATGGTGAAGTCATTATTGATAGGAAAAGCTCCTTTCAAGGTCATGCAGCTGAAGTACACAGCTTAGATGATGTTACGTAAGTGTTTGATATTTTTCAATGTAATGAAGAAAAATGTGTGCAGCTCCTATATTATTCATATTATTAATAAATATAATTATAGATTTCTTGTTTTGAAATCAACATTTAAAAAAAAATCTGATTTATATTTTCCAGGGCAGTTCTCTTTAAGTTAAAGCAAAATAAAAAGATTCAAAATGCAACACATAATATGTATGCATACAGAATAGAGCGACAAGCAGCTAAGGGCACAACAATTCTTCAAGATTGTGATGATGATGGGGAGTCTCATGCTGGGGGAAGAATGCTGCATTTATTGCAGATTCTAGACCAGAAGAATACACTTGTAGTGGTATCAAGGTGGTAAGTATGTTTCTTTATCTACGATAAATAGATATCTTTTGTTCTCAACTGGTAGCATTGTTGGGGTCCAATATAATGGCACTACTAAGTATCTTTTATAGCATTGTCATTACATGAACATTGTAGATATTTAAAACATATTTGTTAAACTAAGTACTGACATTTTAGTCAGTTAATCTTAGGTTAAGATCCTTGTTCATCATAAAGTACTATATGTATTAACAATTTGTATCGGTTATGTTATCATGTTATCTGTATATGTTATCTGATCATATTAAACAACGCGCAACAAGCCAAAAATATACAGCCACATACTTCTGCAAAGTAAGTTTATACTAAAATTTGTTCTTCAGGTATGGTGGAATACAATTAGGTCCTGACCGATTTCGGCATATTAACAATGCAACAAGACAAGTTATACAACAAGCAGGCTTGCTTAAAAAATGACAGTTAATGTTCTATAGCACATAAATCGAAGCATATAAATGCGAAAATTATTGGCAATAAATTGATGTATCTATTTTTATAGAGAAATTGCTTAATGAAAATCTATTGTAGGGAATGTAAATAAATTTTTATTGTTATAAGAGTTTTTTGATTTCCGTCAACTGTAAGCGTACCCCGTATCACCTACCAATAGCAATACTGATTTTAACATTGTTTGTACCATTACCACTAAGTATTGTTGCTAATTATTACCACCTGCATGAATATTAGCATAAAAAGATGTTACACACGAAACAAAGTACAAAAATGTTATGTCAAAAATACGATAGACACATATTAAGACATTACCCTCATTTGTATATCTATATGGTAGGGGAGCCCACGATGCTAAATGGGGATTTACTCGAGCGTCGTAGAGACCTATTGGGATGCAAAGCTTAGATAATAAGAAGAAAAAAATGTTATATGATAAATTCCTTTTCATCGGTGGGGGAAGCGGCTATAGATAGTTAAATATGTAAAAAAAAACTGTTGCATGGACATCCTCGAGCGCGTCAGATATTGATAGCATCTATGCCCTACGTATTTTTAATAATGTACGTATGTTAATCTGATCGTTTGCATGATGCCGGTGGTTGTATTTAAGGGTTGAAAATGAAAAAAAAAAAATATCGAGCGCGTCAGATTTTCTAAGGGAGTGTTAAGTGCACCAAAAAAAAGCTCTCATTCACTAATCTGACGATTTCGATGGGACGCAAACCCACGGCCATTTTCATAATTTGCAAAAAAAAAACGCAATTTTGAAATACTCAAGCGCGTCAGATTAAGATATATGTGGTTCATATTTATGTTCTAAACGTACTGTCTCATAATCTGACGATTATCTAGAGGGATTCGCCTGGTCTGACAAAAAAAAATTAGAAAAACGGTTCACCTAAAGGGCCATCCCTGCAACTTCCCGCTAATTCCATTCCTGGGCGCTTAAAATTGATATTTTGAGCTCGCTGAGTTCAAAGAAATAATATTTCTATGCATTTGAGCTCTCCCAGCTCGAAAGTCTGATAGAAGTTTCATAGAACACTATTTTTGGAATTTTCAAACCGCAATAACTTTTGAATGGATCAAGCAATTTTCACGCGGTTGGCGGCATTCGACGCAGTTTTATCATCCTCATAAGTAATTTTGCAATTTTAATTGATCGAACCACAAATTTTGGAGTAATCTCAAAAAACACTTTTTCGTGTTTCTTTCGTTCACGATATCTCTCGAACGAATCAACCGCTTTTGACCAGCTTGGTGGCGATCGACGTGGTTTTTCAAGCTCGAAGGCGGATTAGTTTTTGAAGTTGATCGATAAAGAAACCACTTTAAAAAAAAATATTTATTATTTTTCTAAGATTTTTCAAAATTTCTCAAAATCTATCGGTCCGAATCGGTTCAAATTCACAGGAAATGTAATTTTGAGGGAAATATTTAGAACGCCGTTTAGTAGATTCCGATCGGTTTAAGGAAATGTAGGCATCACGCAGCTGCACGCATTTAACTTTATCGACGAATTTTTGTTATTTCGGCTTGCGGAAATCGTCAGATTATATATTTTTCATTATTCTTGAATTATTTCCTTCAAAATAAAAAAAAAATTAGCTGCGCTCGAGAATGTCGAGATGACGTTTTTTTTTACAACTTTGTTGCCCTCCCCTTTTTTTACGTCACTCTCAAATTTTCAGATTAGTGGAATATACACTTTTTAGGATGTAATTAACTCACCCTACCTTAATCTGATGCGCTCGGGAATTTCTGATGGTCAATTTTTTTTACTAATCTGATCCTGTCTCCTTCACAGGCGGCCTTATATATGGACCTCATGTTTTGTGGAGGTACTTAACCGAGTACAAGCTATCCCCCTGTATAGTAATCTGCCGCGCTTTAGTAAATCCCGAAATCCCCTCTTGGGCTCCCCTACCAATAGCTTAGACGAGTCTCCAATCCCAGCTCTAGAGCCGCAGCAGTAACACGCTGTACCTACTGATTCGTAAATCATAATATTTCTAAAATAATTTTTTTTCATATAAATATTTGTTTTATTAATATTAATAAAGCTGTTTCATTTCTCAGTTAATGTAGAAATAAACAACACATTGGTAGTTTACCATTTAATAAATTACCCGTAAGTAAAATTTATTTTAATACTTTCTCCACGATTGTACCTACTTCTGCCATTTAGTAATTTTAATAATACAATTTACATACAATACAAATTAATTGAATATGTCCAAGAATCCCTGATCTAGATTTTCTTTAGTTCTAAAGTCGACACTACAATAGGAAATGCGTGAATAAAATATTGGACACTACAAGAGAATGAAACAGAGATAAAGATCAAGAAAAATTTAGATGAGATATGGATCCTCCCAGTACATATTTCATGTGACTGCCGTCTGCCAAGCATGGACTTATGTTTGTTCACCACTGCTCAAAACAAAAAAAAGGTGGTTTACCAAAGTGGAACGGAGAGAAGTTTGCTAAATATAAATTGAAGAGAGGGTTAGCAAGACTTACATTAGGAAAAGGACAAGGTTAGAAGACGTTACAAAGGACAAACGAGGAGCCGAAGTTTTTGAAAAAGGAAAAAAGGCAGAGACAGGCAAGCAAGTAACTTGTCCGAAAAAAAATCTTTTATTTATTTTACATAAATTATACAACAATTATTTTCTAAAACCTAATTTAATTAACTATTACTTGTAAAAGTTCAAAAATAAGTCTTAGTCCTACCCTACCCTAAGAATTCTTATTTTTACAATTAAATCTACTATGGGTTATATAATTTTGCAAAAAGAACTAGCTATCATCTTTTATTCCGAGCATTATTATCGGCAGTCTTCACAGTAATACATTTCTTATCCATGAATTTTAACAGGTCCTGTAACAACATCATTAATTGAATATATTCAAAATTACCATTATATAAAGGCACATGCAGTTTTTTTGGGAATAGATTCTCGCTGTTAGCTATTTTCGATGCTTTTACACACCAACGGGATGATGTTTAGCCTCATGAATCGCGACTGGAGCGCATATAGCCGGTGGGTAAGAAGGGGGGCACAATGCAAGAAAACTACGCTAGCTTAGGTCATGTATGGTCGGATACAGGCCTTATACAGTGTCACCTTGTGTCTATGGCACATCAGACTCCTTTTATTCAGGAGGAAGTAGAGGCGAGAGAGGACAATCGAGGCCTTCTTGCGAAAGGCGGCTAGGAGCGTGACTCCTAGATATTTGACGGGCTTTTGTTACGAGATGGCTTGCCCGTATAGGGTTACGTCTTTTTTGAGGCGGAATGACTGAGCGAGAGCACCGGGGCCCCTGACAAAGATAACTGTGACGCTCTTCTCGGGATTTAAAATGTCAAAGGTTCTTTAATATGGTTCAACCATCTTACCTTGGGATTATATCTATAGCCAGCAGCAACCAAATCCTTGTGTACTGTATCTATATTGATTGGTTCATAACATAAAATAGCTTCCCTCAGCAGTCGGCGACATGATACATAATTGTGGAATGCTATATGTAACGGAACACGACAAGAATGTACCTATAAAGGAAAATATTATTTATATTTTTATTTATGTAGTATATAATACTTCGTTGCAAAAATCTGTACAAATTATAAGTTTTCGAGCGATCTCGCGAAAAGCTATTAGTGTGCGCTCACTATATAATTGTATTTTTACAAGAGCAAATCCACATACATAACATATACACTATAACTAAAACAAAACAAACAATAAAGAGATATTAAGAACATAATTATGAATTATTTATGTATGATAATAATAATTTCTAAATTATGCTAAAACATTTATACATAACCATTATTACCTGAGTTTGATCACATTAAAAGAACATTTTATTTATATTATTATTGTTTATGGGCGGTGCAAGTGAGTACTTAATTAAAAGCATATAAAAATATTGGGTGCTTGCATTAATTAAACTAAATTTTAATCAACCCAAGCTTATGCCATGTCAGTAAAATTTTGTATGCAAAGTTTGGTACAAGGAACTTTTATTCATAAAATGTTTGTTTCTGTAAAAATTTAAAATATCTATTAATTTTACCTTAGCTTTCTCTCTCTTCTGAAACACCCAATCCTCTGGTTCACAAGCAATATTCTTTATCGCTGGTGTATCATCAGTTTGGATAAAAATATTATCTTTATCACCTAAATCTTGAGATGCTACAGGCGATTTTTTAACAGAAAAATTGGTCTTTCTTGGTGATTTCTGTGACTTTCTAGGTGACTGGCTCAAATTTCCTGTTATAATCTTTTGAGGGGAATTGAGTTTTGGCTTTTTTGTAGGAGACCCATCCTCACATGACTCGACTACTGGATGAGTTTGATTGTAAATGTATGTCAGTAGTTGTATTGCTAAAATAGAGATAAAATTAATTCTGACAACATAAAATTATTGTATTTGTTTAAAGAGCTACTTTAATATAATATGTATAATAATATTTTTTATATACTAATTATTGTATCGGGTGGCGCAATAGAACGTGCATTTATTAAGTATAGGCTAAAAAAATAAATACAAAAGGTATAGTTCAAATAAAATATAGGTGAGAAGGTAATTAAATGAAGTTTATTTTTTAAAAATAACCTCATCCAAATGACGGCCCTCTCGAAGACGGCACTCGTCTACACACACACACATAAAGTCAACAGGCGTCAAGTCAGGGCTACGTGGGGGCCAAGGGATATCACCTCTTTTGGAAATTAGTCTTGCAGGAAACATCTGTCTTACAACCGCCATAGAGTCATTTGATGTGTGACAGGTCGCTCCGTCTTGTTGGAACACAGTCCTCGTATTCGTTATTCTCGATCTCGCAAGTTCTGGAGTCAAATATCCCTCTAACATCGCAATATAGCGGTCGGTGTTAACGGTGATGTCCTCGTGAATCTTCAAAGAAGAAAGGGCCAATAGTTCCTTTGCTTGACATTGCTGCCCATACCGTTACTTTCGGACTATACAGTGGTTTTTGATGTTTCATTTTGAGGCTTTAGCTGACTGAAGAACATCAGTCAGCTGAAGGAAAATATCCGTGGGGCAATGGCAGCTATCACCCCAGATTTACTGACAAGAGTTTTCACAAATCTGCGTTCTTACTTAAAGGAGTGCCGTCTTCGAGAGGGCCGTCATGTAGATGATGTTATTTTTAAAAAATAAACTTCATTTAATTACCTTATCATCCTACATTTTATTTGAACTATACCTTTTGTATTTATTTTTTTTAGCCTATACTTAATAAATGCACGTTATATTGCGCCACCCTGTATAAAACTAGATAATATTTGATTCATTAAGTGCTACAAAACACTTGAATGATGAAACTTAAAACAGCACTGTTCCTCATTGGTTATAAATATAAAATATTACCTCTTTTCCTTTTAAATGGTTTCAAGCCGTATTTCTCAAGTTCCTTATTTCGTTCTGGAGATGACATTGCTTCAAAATTTTGCATGGGTGTCACATCAACTGTTTTAATAATGTATTCATTATTGCTAGGTGTTTTGATAATCTCAAAGTTTTTTTCTTTGACGGGTGTAAGAATTTTGCACTCTACTGAATTATTCTGACAATTCATATCAATGGAAGGCAAGTCTTCAAAATTATTTTTACTATTGTCAACACCAATATTTACAGAATAGTTTAATTCTTGATCTGATAATCTGCAAGATTCCGAATCACTTGCAGGCTTTTCACTGTTCGAAAAACTTGAGTTTTTGTTTTGAGTAATGTACTTTTCTGAATTATTAGTTGATTCGGATACATTGGTAGAATTTTTAATGATCTGATCAAACATGTCATCATAATCAACAGACAAATTATCTATCTTGCCAAGATTATACATTTTACTTAAATCAGAATTTACACTACAATAATTATACTCTTTTGATTGGGTTAGATGAATATTATCATTAGTACTATTATCTTGAATATTTCTTTCATTATCTCTCGAAGTAAAATTAGGTACTTCAGTTACTAATTTGTCATACAAAGTATCATTTATGTTTTTAATTGTACCTTTTTTATCTACACCTACGACATTTATATCTGGCAAGCTACCTGTGTCAGAAGATTCTGTTAAATTCATGGTACCTATTGTTTGTATGTTCTCTTTTATGACATCTGCAACTGAATCAGGCACTATTGAAACTGTATTGATTTCTTCTAAAACCATAATTTGATCACATTCAAAAATTTCTGAAGAACCCATAGTTTTTCTGAAATTTACATTCTCATCTATATAGACAACGGTATCATCGTCATTTAATTCTTGTGTCAAATCAATTTTATCCTCACAATTAAAACCACCCCCAATACATTCTGTTAGTTCCATAACATCATTTGAAAGTCTTTTTGATACATTAGAAATTTGTGGCTTTATATTACTAGGCACACATTGTGTAAGATCTATAGTGTCATATTTAACTACAGGTTTTGATAATTCAGAAGACATATTCAAAATAGTTGATACTTCTTCATCAAACAAATCGGGCGATTTACATCTGTAGTGTGAAACTGTTGTTTCATTCAAGCTTTTTGAAACGCAAAATGCAACAGTTTTACGGTATAAATCAGTTTTTGAATCGATGTATTCAGTCACCATTGAAAGCGGTTGAGAAAGTGTTTCATTAACTATATAATTTTCTTCATTATCATTATTTAATATTTCAATATCTTTATGTTGCAAATTATTAATTTTTTCAGACATTGATAATGATAGAGTTTCATTTGAAAGTATTTTGCTTGACATTGCTTGTTCAACACTTCCATGAGAAGTATTATAACATAATCTCTCTGTTTGGAAACTATAATTTCTTAGTTTTACATGACATATATTCTGAGCCATAGCAATACAACCACTAAGAAATATATCCAGTTCATCTTGTGAGCATATTATATCATTAAAGCCAATATAAGGCCCTTCAAACGCTGGACTTTGACACCTGCCTGGTATGTCTGACCAATCTCTTAAAAAAAATATTGTGTTTAAAGATTTCTCAATCAAACCATTCACATAAAATACATCATCATTTTTCATTTCTTCAAATAACATACAAGTAGATTTGTAAAAAATAGACTCCTTTTGTAAATTACTTTCAATAATTACATTGTTACTCTTTGAAGAAAGAATTTGCAAATATTTTGCAGATATTATTTGTTGTTTCTCTTCATTGGAAGTTGTCAGTAAATTATATCTTTTTTGTTTTATTTTATTTAAATGAGTAGCCTTCACTTCTGGCACTTGGAAACCATATTCTTTAAGTGTGGTTCTAATTTTATTACATTGCTCACGAGAAGTTAAAGTTTTTGTAACATCTGTGTCATTTGGACATTGTTTAGAATCATGTAAGGACTTTGATAATGCAATTGCTAATTGCAATTGTTCAGAGTCAATGTCTACACCAGATTTTTTACATATATTATTAAAATTTTTAGAATACTCAATTAAATCGTTTTTTTTCTTGATAAGGGTACGTATATCCTTCTGCCCCTTGATGCGCTTTTGACATTTTCTCTTGGGTTCTTTCTTTTGAGGATTTTTAGGGCCAACAATTTTTTTTTTCTCCTGAAATTCATTTAGGCTTTCATCCAGTACAGCTTCATTTGAGAAATATTTACTTGTCACTTGAGTTTTAGATGTGCTTGCACTGAGGGAATTAAAACAAAGTTAAGTAACTACATATTTATTTAAATTAAATAAAAATAACAACTTTCAGTACCTACCTATGACTAAAATTATTTACATTCATGTTATTTAAATGGTAAATCTGGCCTTTCAGCTTCTTTCATAGCCTTCCTTATTTGATCTCCTGATCGATTTGGTAACCCTGCCGCAATCATTTGTTTTCTTTCAACTTCTTCTATTGGGTCTTCGTAAAGGGTTTCAACAGCTTTTCTTAGATTTTTTGTAGCGTCTATATTACTGAAATATAAATAGAGAACATTTTAACCTCAAATTGTGGTAGAATAATTAAAGGCGATTGAAAAAACCTTACTGAAATATCAGTCCACAAACTACTCCAACGCTTAAAATACCTATTCCTACAAGGTTTCTAACTGTAGCTGCAGGTGTACCCTGTAATCTTCTAGGTTTCCATCTCGAACTATCAACTCCGATGGCCATATTTGTTGTTTTGATTTTTTTTTTTTTTTTTTTTTTTTTAATTTTATGGCCATGGTTGTTGTTTTGAGTTTTATTTTAAAAGATTCAACCGACAAACCACAGACTAGAGACAAAGATAATCGCATATAATATAGTCGGTCGGTTCACAGTTATATTCTTAAGAAACTATTGTTAGATACTTACTTACTAAACAATCAATGGACTGTATTTGTCTGATGAATAAAAATTATTATTATTATTATTATATTATCTCTGAGAAATCATGAAATGACACTGGAGGCTGGAGCTTTTCTGTAAGTTGGCACTACTGTCAAGTCAACTTGCGAAGCCCATTGTGTTTTTATTTTGTATTTGCTATTTAATTATTAGTTAAATGCATGTTGTATTATACCATGGTTCATGTCATGTCCTGTCCGTTGACAAAGCAGGGCAAGTTGTATTTAAAGTACGCAAATAGAAACATTATTTCATGAAACAATGGTCAAATATCATTATGTTATCAGGATTATCTAAAAAAAACCGTAAGCACGAAGAAGGTGGCACGAGGAAGTAGCTACTTCCGACTCCCAAAAAAATCCATTCCAAGAAAAAATCGTCAACAAGAAAAGAAAATAACATTAAATGATTTCGATAATTCGCTAAATAGGCTTTATACTTAACGTATTTTTTATATAATAAACGAGCCTACGGGACACCTAAAAAGGGCAGTCATCGCGGCCCATGAACACCCATTTTTAGTGGGTGCGTTGCCAGTTTTTGAGTGAGGAGTACACTCTAACACTGAATAGTTGGAGATCGTATCTCTCAGGGAAGATCCACATTCGCAGTCCACAGTCCACAGTCGCTAATTCGCAAAAAAAAATGAACTCTGGAAGACTTTCAGCCATCAAGCTGATGTTGATGAAATTTTGAACTGATATGGCTCGTACGCTTCAAAACACTCACCGTAGCAAACTTTATAGAAAACGCAAAGAGACGCTCTCTGCGTAGAGAGAGAGAATCAAGCCGATCAGTAATACATTGGAATTTGACAATTCGACAAGCCCTTCGCTGTATTGGTCAAAAGGAAGAATCTGGGAGCACCAGCTCACTACGTACTTGAGCCTTGTTGAGCTGCATACGTTGTACCTCAGTGAAATACTGCTTAGCCCTACCCAAAACACCCAGCTTTTTGGAAGCCAGTTTGGCTTTTTCTGCCAGATAGCTGCAGAATTGAACTTCTTTCGATATGCCAACACCAAGCATACACACGACACGATAAAAGGATCTTCCTTGGCATAAAACTAACAAACCTAAGTCTTTGTAGGATTAACCTTAACAATGTTGCTAACTACCCCACATAGAATCTTTCTCCAGTATCGTTTCAAAATTTTATCGTTAATATTTAAATCACAGTGGTCGTGACTATCATTATGATAACATGAATTAAGTTTTTTTTGCTCAGCAAGGCAAGACGGTATCTGCAGCTGAGTTTCATTATCGGACGTCAAGGTAAAATACAAAATACCATACGTATCACCTCGACGTCCGTTCCACAACTGAGAGTATTCTAAGGCAGTAATGCCGCGCACCACCACTATGTGGAACTAGCTGCCCACTGAAGTATTTCCGAACCAATTCGACTTAGGGTTCTTCAAGAAAAGAGCGTACCCATTCTTGAAAGGCCGGCAACGCACTTGCGAGCCTTCTGGCAGTGTGAGTTTCCATGGGCGGTGGTACAATTTAACATCAGGCGAGCCTCCTATTACATAAAAAAAAAAGACACAACATTCAAGCTCTTCGGATTTTGATGAATTAGACTTTAATATTGATCACAGTAATTCCAAATAAATTATATAAATTTAAATTGCAGTTGTTGTTCGAAGGGCGGTTACATGCGTGTTACTAGCGTTTTTTATGCGCGTATAAGCTCTTCTTTGGAAGCGCGTTTAGGCACGCATAGGCGCGCCTTTTGGCACACGCGCAACTCGTACGACGGTTGACGCGTTTCAAAGCTCGTAAAAGTTCGCTGTTCTGGGTAGAGTGTATTAAAGTGAACGGTCTTGATGCAACCATCGATGAAACCCGGCATCTTTTTAGTATTCTCAGTCGAAGGCGAATAAGTATTGTAGCGCGCTTGTAAGGACTAAGGGCGTATGCTGAAATAACCGTATACGCGTAGAAAAATACCCTAGTGTCTAACCGCCCTCATTACGCGAAAAATACAGAGAATGACATTTCATTGTTTTATTTGAAAATTGAAATTTATGTTTCATGACAGTGACAAATGACAACTGGCAACTAATTCTTCTATTATCAATGAAAGCGATTTTTTTTAGAATTGCGATCTGGGAAAATTTAAAGTACAATCTATATCATAAAACTTACTGATATTCTCAAATAGTAGTATCAATTTAATTGTTTAAATAACATTTTCATGTAATTTTAAAAATTACATTACATTGAATTAATTACTATACATTTTACTATAATTTAGTATTCCTTAAGTGTGGTAAAAAAACGCAGTTAAGTTATGTGAATTAATTAATAAACTTACATGAAAATATTTAGTTTCCTGTCGCGTTTTATTCCTAACCGTATTATAAGTGTAAGTTAAAAAAACCGTAACAAAAAACGTTGAATAAAAAAACTCAGTATTGATTAGGGTTCATTGTTGCTTTTAGATAAATAAATCCAAAATGGATATTCTTCGTCAATTTCAAAGTATACCGTGGTAAGTTCAATTATTTTTAAATAATACCTATGTTATTAATACAGGCCAAGTATCTTACAACATGGATCCTTAAAAACCGTCTTTGAAACTTTTTCCTCAAGTTTTTCCTTATTTTAATGATGATGTATCTAGTATATTGCACAATACCAATATGATTTCAAGCCTACTGGGTAAATAAAAATTATGTTTTCTAGATATAGATGGGACTTCAGAGGTCGATTTGTGATCTACTTTCATGCAGTACCTGTGCAATTGGCTAGTTTGTTGATGTAAAACAGTTTACACAATTAATTTAAAAATCAATGAAACATTCTGAGTTAGGAGTTAGAAGTAGCTCATTCATTTATTTAGTTTAACACACCAAAGAGCTTACATGAAAAATGTAAGAGTCTATTTATCATTATGCAAGAAATTACAAAGTGACACAAAGACAATTTGTTGATATGGCTTTTCCATTGCAGATCTAGTTAATTTGATTTAGATTTGTATAGGATTTCTAATAATGAAGCCATGCCAATACTGTAAACATTAGTAACTGTTGTTTGATTTCATTATTTTTATAATATAGAAGTCATAAGTTCTTAAAAAGATTAACCCCACCTTGTTAAGATAATTTCACATTAAGTATTAAATGTTCTTAATTTAGATTCATTAACAAAACAAAAAAAATCCTTATCTGTAATAAAAATTATTAAGTTATGCACTTTTTTTTTAAAGTGTGAACGTCTAGCCATTAGGCTATTTTAATTTCTTTTACCTTATATTCTAGTATGAATGTATTAAACCTTTTTATAATTTATAATGCTTATAAGGATATATGTATAGATAAACCCAATAACCGCAACAACCCAATAATAATTTATATACAAATTCATGATAAATTAAAATTATTTTAGTGTCCCACTTATCTCATAGTCTATTTTGTAACATGTCAAGTTTATTTCTATATTGGAGTTGAATAGAATTCTGACCTTCTTTTATTCTACCTCTTTATTTTATTTCAGGTGCAAACCAGACTGGTGCTATCCAAGTATGGGTAAAGAGATGAATGATTTACTCAAACAGTGCATTGATTTGCCTCAAATAAAAGTAAATGATGATGTTGATCAAATAATACAGAAAAGCCAGTCATTTCCCATACCATTTCCAGTTAATAAAACCAGGTAAGTTAGAAAATTCATTTTCTTATAGATAAGGTGAATGGAACAAATTATAAATTACTCTTAATTAGAATTATTATAATTAATTACGTATAATTAAGAATCTATTATTAAAATATCTGTTACTGACATTTAACCCAAAATGAAAGGATCAATTGAAATTTAATTTAATTTATGTGTCTCTAACACTAACCTTCTTATACTCATAAAATTAGAACTACATTAAAGCAGTGTGTTTGTAAAAAGTAAAATTTTGAGGAATGTTTTTAATTTACAAATTAAATCTGATTGAGACTGTTCATGGGACTTATACCTATTAAACCTCATTTTTCAGATTAGAACCATTGAGGGAAAGAAAACCAATTGAGAGGTTAAAAAGAAACATTGTGTCAACATATCCAATAATTCATGAACGAGTTCTGTTATTGATCACTCATTTTCTTATCTATAAGAGGTACCATATAGCACTTTAGTTATATCATACCATTCCATTTGTTGTATAAATATTGATAAAATACATATGAAATAAATTAAATGCTCATGACTATATGCCTTACATACTGAATCAATGATTTCTTAGATTTTAGAGTTACAGCAAATTAGAGTTACTCTAATTTATGCTTCGCAATTTAAAATGCATTTATCTATTTATGCTACTAGTAATTAGAAAATAATAATAAAAGTTATTATGAATTTTCCAGGGAATTTGGATCTTCTATAGAAAAAACATTGTATTGTAATATGACAGTGCCTGAGTTTATTGATAGACTGTTAAAGAAGCGCGCCGTTACATTTATGACTAAAAAGGACACATATAAACTGTTGACGGGAGAGACTGGGTAAGATTACTAGTGTAATGTTGTATTTGTGGTCAGACTGCTTTTTTGATGGGTCCACTTTAAGGTCATGTTATACCTGACGTTAGGTCCATATTCAATTTTTTTGCTATTGAAACTACATTTAAGTTCGATTGGCATTCTTGAATACGGGCCTAAGATGAATTGACAAAAACGAATTTGACATGTGTAGGATTCTCGCCATCGCCTATTTGTAAATCTAATACATTTATGTTCAAGTTCTACACCTTTCACAGATAAAAGAAGTGATTTTTTCATATTAAATTATTACAGAAACGGTGGTTGGGAACAAGTAGGTACACTGCAGCAAAAGCCACCGCTAGAGTTAGAGAACTGTTTGAGTTATGATGAAATTAAATTAAGTGCAATGGTCTACGTTAGTGGATACACAGAGTGTATCAATGATGGGAATCGGTACAATCAGGGGATTATTAATGAGAAAAATGTAGAAGAGGACGCTGTAATTATTGGTAAGTTTAAGCTTATCGGCTTACACTGTATGGGAATACTGAACATCTAACAATTGTGAATAAACATTTTTCTGTCTGCGGTGACGCGAACTTATATAATTCTTATTTGCTTAATTTTTTTTCATATTTAGTACTTATGATTACTGATGAATAATAATGAAGTAAATGTTACGTACATAAGGGAGCGTTCAAGTATTTCGTAACGAATTTGGGGGGGGGTCTTTTTTTAAAACGTTACGATACGGGGCGGGGATTAAATTACGCGTTATTGTTAATATTATTTTCGACTTTCCAGTACTTTACACCATATATTGGTATAAAGAGTCACTGGGTGGTCATGAAACGTTTTACTATACTGAGGTACAGAAAAACGTTACGGTGCGTTACAGGGGGAGTCAATAATCTCCAAAAATTGCGCGACGTAATACTTGAACACTCCCTAACATAAAAAATCAAATCCACCAGTTCTCTTTCCGCACAGACTCTAATTGGTATGATTTTGTTTAGTATCTATGCTTATCAATTACCCGTAGTAAACGGAAGGATACCGTCCTTCCGTTTACTATCAGATAAGAAAACACAACACAGGCGGGACATATAACTATCAGCGATTTAAACAATATTATGGATGTGTTTCAGACTCTATGGTCTAGGATTTAGCGTTTACACATGACACTTACAGATATTTTCACACCTTATAGATATTTTTTTTACCAATTCATTAAAAAATTCTTTTAAATATAAAGTGTATAAGTTACATAATACTTACTTGACTTAAAATTCCTATTTTCTCGTTTCTTTTGACGGCTTTTGCCTCCCTATTTGGTTAACAGGTCCAGTGAAATATTAATTGCTTCATACAAAAGCTAAGCCTAAAAAAGTTACGGGACATCAAACAACGTAATGTGTAACGAAACGTTATGACAGTCAAAACCGTTTACGACGACATCGTTTAAAACAACATACCGGTTATATTAACCAAAATCAAAGGTCCCGGCTGAATTCTATTGTATTAGGTACTTAATAACAACGTCATCGGCTGTTACTACTATCGGTTTTTACGACCAAATATGAGTAAACCCTTCGATGTCGCTATAACAGATTTTGACTGTAATTACCTTCCCATAAATTACAGGTCTCATAGGCCCTCGATTCGATCGACCAGAAAGAATGGAGTACGAAGATATATTAATAACTGAACAGCAGAATACGTCAGAAAATGGATATGGTGAAGAGGTGACACCGACGACTTGTCTCAACGTACTTAAAACAACATATGTGAAGAACAACCAGTCAGCTAAACATATGTGGAGGCAGATTTGGTCGGAGTTCTATCAGGTATCAGAAAATTTAGATTAATCATTGAATATTTGGCTTTTATGGATTTGTTAAGACGATGTTAGTATAATCTTAAACGTATTCAATAAGTGTTGTTTGATGATTTGCTATTTTAAAAGAGTACCGAGAGTTTTTTCGCCGGCTTTTTCTCTCGGCCTACACCACCTGTCTTCTTTGCCAATGAGTAGGGGTTAAAAATTTAATGACGTGGAATAAGTAATACCTATATCTTATGTTCCGTAATAAACATATTTTATTTTAATAATTCCATGTCAAATACGAATCACATTCTTAAGGAGTGTGCAACGTTTAATTAATACAGTGCTAATTAAGATAACCTGAGTTTGATAAATTGATAACCTCCCCTTCGGGTTTTAAGTCGGTAAAAATAAATCGCTACGTTTTAACTAAAGTACTTATCTCGGAGAAACACAATTTGTCAATTGAGAGATTTGGTTTTTATGATTTTTTTAATGGTAGATTCACACGCGCGCGTTCACCTCTACATTCAACGTGCACATTCACATTCACGAGCGTGTAAACGGTACGCCCGAGCCCGTGAACGCGCCTGTGAACGTGAATGCCGCGAATCGGGCATACTGACTGACACGACGGCGTGCGTGTGAACAGCTTGAATGTCCGTCGGCCCGGGACGGGCTGCATGGCGCGCGTGTGACCGTAGCATTAAATACAGTAAAAATCTGTTACAACGACATCGAAGGGACTACTCATATTTGTTCGTCAAAACCGATAGTCGTAACAGACGATGACGTTGTTATTAAGTACATAATACAATAGAATTCAGCCGGGACCTTTGATTTTGGTCTATATAACCGGTATGTTCTAAACGGTTTTGACTTTGATGTATAACAGGGGGCAGAAAGCTCATCTTATGTTAAGTAATACCACCACCCATACACACTCACATTGCCAGAGGGCTCGCCAGTGCGATGCCGGCTTTTTAAGAACTGATATGTTCGTTTGCTAAGTCGATTTGTTTCGGAAATCCTTTAGTGGGCAGCTGGTTCCACATAGTTGTGGTGCCGGCAAAATCTGCACGTTCATTTTGACACGTTATCAAATTTTATTCGGTTAATATAAATTTTATTTCAGGTTCACAGCTACACCTACCAGGAGCTGACCTCATACGTCAATATTACAGACAAAGCCGAAGATAAAAAATATCTTGAACGATATGTTAAGACATCTCGGGGTATTTTTGACAATGAGGTATACTACAAGCGGGTCAGTGTGTTAGCCGAGAGCTCCTTGTTTGAGGCCGAATGGAGAGGTCGAGACGCGGATCGTATGGCGTTTTTAAATGTTATTGGATGTGGTAAGTTCATTTTTATGGTTTTAATTTAAAGAAACGTCTTGTCCCAAGTCTGACTCCCATACAAACAAATATGTTGACATACGAGAGTCATGGTTCGCGCTAAGTCTCGTCTCACCCTAAGTCCACCTGTCACGTGGTCATCGGGTTTTGACAGATGAGCTTTTAAATTCTTCTATTCTATATTTTGAATCGCTCATTCACATCTATGATTATGTTTTATATTTTTATAAAATATAATAATTTTGCAATTACAGTGTAAATTCTTTATAATGTCATTCGTTATAAAGAAAAACTCTCTATAACGTAAACATGAGTTAATTTATTTGGTTTAACCCAATACCCATACATTAATTCTTCCCTCCCTATAACGAATAAAAAACCTCGGCCCCTTGAAATTCGTTATAAAAAGTTTACACTGTATTTAGAGTGTTATCTGTAAATTTTGCTAGTGCAGACTGTTTTAAATATACATATATATTTTAACAGGAATTTTATATAATTTTAGGTCTAGGCGTTTGGAAGATGAGTCCGCACCAGAATGACGTTTATATTTTGACATTTTTGGAGCGAATACGTGCATTTTTGAAGAAGGATTTGCTAAATCACGTCTCAGATGTCAATTTTTCATATATTAAACCTAGTAAGCCGATATTAGGTGAGGTCGATAAAAATCAAATTTATTTAATAGGTATAAGAATTATTTCTAAGTAAAATGTTTTGTTTCAAAACATTGTTATCATTGGTTTTTGGTTTTGAAATGTTTGATTTTTGCCACTATTACCGATGACTCTATTTAAAATTAATACATAATTCTTTTTTCTCCTTCTCCTCCCAAAAGCCATTAAAAGACATCGAGTTGTTTTTTTGTACATTAATGTAAATGTGAAAAAATTCCCAGCATGCCTAATCTTTTTTTTTATGGCTCTGGCACGGTTTGTGCATTAGCCAGCGTCAAGTATAAGATTTTTTATAATTCGTGTTTGCCTTAGAAATTCGACCGTGTTCTCCATGTACGGTTTAGGCACTCGCCCGGTACCGCACAACCCTCCCAAAGGCCGAGAACAAATTTAAATTAAATTAAAACTTGCCCTCGAACCGGGAATCGAACCCGGTACCCCTCACCTAGCTGCCACTTAATAAGACCGCTAGGCTATGAGGCCCCCAATGCCTAATCTTGGTAATTCATGTCGATAAAATACAATGAATTGCATATTTTTAGATCTATTCAGTAACAAATCATCCCCGCGCGATTCACCAACAGAGAAACGGATATTCTTTGAATGCAAGCGGCATCCCAGTGGTAAGTTACAAAAAAATCATAACTTTATTAATTTGTAGCAAAACCATGACTTTAATATTGTTTCAACATAACTTTGCTTTTTTAACATGTGATAGTGTCTTTTGCTTTGACTTAAGGCTTATTTACTCAAAAGTATCAGTCTTCAACTGGGCATTTAGGCATACTCCCAAAACGTATTGAAACTCAAATCTTATTTCATAATATAGTTTTAAAAGCATTTCACTAGCTAAGATCATTAATTTTAATTTATCAAATAAATTAATTATTAGTATCAGATATTATTTCTTTTAATCTAAGTTTGTTTCTAAGCAGCAGAAATAAGAAAATAGGCTTAGGTCAAATACAAAAAATTAACACCCTGTATTTTTGTTATCAATCGACAGTTTAACGCGGAATTGGCGATTCAAAAGAGTAACGGGTTCGCCAGTTGTTCTCCACCCTTGATTTGAAGAACTGGCAGTAAAATTACATTTAGATGCATTAATTTTACCGACGTTCATTAAGTTACCTTACATGAATAAATTTATTACTACTTTGAATAAAAAAATATTTTTGCAGGCGGCATAAATGTGCAATTAGAACAGCGTGAGCCATCCGCCAAGTTGAAAGGCGAACACGAGGGCAAACTGCTGGTTATGACCTACCCTTGGGATGGGAATGCTCATCCTGGGAACGAATTCTGGTAAGTGATTTACTCATTTTATTTTATTATTATTCATAAATTTTAGCCATATTATCAATACATAAATCTATATTGACTTAATCTTATCTTAAGACAATATAAGAAAATGACTATAATATTGTTGTTTTATAGTTTATCTGACTTTTAATTATATTTTTAATACAGGTTAGGCAGCCTACAAGGGTCAGGCGATCCTGCTGCAGCGTGCTCAACCCAAATAGCAGAATTACACAATGCTCACATAAATCCCGCGGTGTCAGGCCTTAACACCCGTGTAGTTGGCAGGCATGGCTTGAAAACGTTATCAGAATATTGTGCTGACTTAACTACTTAGAAAAATAGCAAGAAAATAGCAGTGATTTAGGTAAAATCACATATTGCCGTTTGAGGAGTTTTGGCTTAAACACAGTAATTTTACGTTTTAACAGTTTCAAAGGTTATATAGTAATACATAATAAATGTGTTTTTTTATATATCTCACTGATAAACATGAATTAACGATTAATTAACAGATGTTACGTACTAAATTAATTGTTATATTTTTACGTAAAACTTAGAATCGTATTGTCTATAAGCAAAATAGATTGTTGATTAGATTACTTAACTACTTTTTTTTGTTTTTAATTTTTTGTCGCAAATATATTTCGCGATATTAATATTTTTATTTCTATTTTGTTAAATATGTCTAGGTTTGGACATTGACATTCCTCTCTTTAGTTGTATCAGGATGTAGACAAAAGTGAAAGACGCTTTAACAGCGGAATGTGACGGTGAGCAATTCTCTGTCTGTCTATGAATTATCAAAGAAAATCTTATCTATGGTTTTTTTTTTTCATTGTGTTATTAATATGAATACTATCGATAATTAGCATATTAGTTATAAAATAAGCCTAAATTGCCTATCACTTGTAGTGATTATTCGCACTAAAGCAAGCGCACATTGTATCAATTGACGAAAGACTGATTAATGTATGAACGTGGCTTAGGTATGTAATGGGAAAAATAAACTTATAGATCACCTTTTAGGCGGATATCAAAGTTAGGAGTAAGCAAAATTCATAGACAAATTTTATTACAATCAGTTAAATTCTAAAGAACTTTGTATTGCTATCAGCATTCTTAAGGAATACGAATGAGTTATTAATGAGTTGGTTATGAGTCTAAATACTCTTTGTTATCTATTATTGCCTTATAATAAAATTCACCTATACCAGAAGTAAGATAATACTCATTTAACAATAAACAATGTGCCAATGTGTTTTTTATAATAAATAAAATGAAATAATGTTTTTATATGGAATCTGTATCTTGTCTATATATATTTAGTTCCCCATATTACACAATAGAAAAATAGTTTTCTCTAATTCAATAGTTATAAACAGATGTTGTTATTTTGTAGAAAATGAATTAGGTTTTTAATATGTAGTTTGTAACTATTTATTATACTAAACAAGCTGTTCGGTACTAAAGAATTAAGACACGATATTAGTAATATCACTGAACTTGCTTTATTAAATTCGCGATGTAATCTCTACACGATTAAGTCTGGACATTAAAAATCTATTAAACAAATCGATACCTTTGAAACCATTTAAACGATTTCGATTAATGCCGAAATTGGTGGAACATTTGAAAAAAAAGATAAAATTAGTATATTATTAATACTTTTTATAAATTTTTAGTACCGATTAGTTGTAGCTACTTTATTACAATAAATAGAACTTGGTAGTACAGTAAGCGGCCTATCAGACATATAATCTGTACAATAAACGCTGTTACAACATGTTAAGTTTAAGTAAATATATGCTGCTGTTTTATAATACACAATGGGTTTCATTTAAGCATCCCTTACGTCACGCCACCACACAATTTAATAGAGTGTGGACAGGTCAAATAACACGATTTTTGAAGTCAATATTATAATAATAATATAATATTTACTATTTCAAATGACAAGAAAATCATAAAAACGTTAATCGATCACTTGTGTTGGAAACTCGAAAAAGGAACAATAAGGGATTGAAATAAAATTAGGAGACTTCAGGATTTATAGAAACCAGAGACACAGAATAACTCATTTTTGCGTTAGGAGCTAGATTGTATGTAGTACTAAAAATAATTTTATAAAATGCGTCGTAGTTAAAATTTGTCCTTGATGTTTGCAATTTACCTTGAATGCTTTATCAAGCTGATTTCGCTACGTATGTGTCAAATTGATAATGCTACATTATACTAAGGTGACCAACTATTTTTTGTTCAAAAAGAGTACACTTTGCAAGTATTTCATAGGTGAATAAAAAAGAAGAAAAACCTAAAAAAACTTTATTTTCTTTTAAAAACATTATTTTCTTTGGAGTTGATTTTTTGCTAAATGAGGATGTTCGTCTAATAATGTAGCCACATCCGAACAACTTTCATTTTGCATATTAAATTTGACTGTTAAGACGACAGATAATGTTTTACAGAAAGTTGCGACTTCTCACTGCTCCAATAATCATTCCCTAGTGAAAATACCCTTATAACAGCAGCATTACTGCCTGGACAACATCAGGAAATTTCTTTTTAAACTTAATTATACAAATGAGTACTTTCAGAGTAGGGACAGGATTTAAAAAGAGTACGGTTTGCGAAAAAAGGGTACAAAACTCAGTAAATAAGTATAGTTGGTCACCTTAATTATACTAGGAACCCTTGTGTCGTATGGAGCACAAATGCCCACTTAATTTAAAGGTAATATTAATAAATAATAAGAAACAATCGCTGTGAAGATTCACGTTTACCTACATACTATTAAAAACGTAACCAACTACAAACATTAAACTACGTCTGTCTAAAACTTCATCCAGATACTATAGAATAGAATGGCTGACCGCATTCTAGTCCTTGACAACAAACAACCATTCCTACCTTTTAATAGTTCTTTGAAAAAGTTAAGCTTTCATTTCGATTAAGAAAGACTTCAACTGTACGATTGTATATGTGTGATCAGCGTAGGATTACGATTAAACATATCAATTATACAAATAATTTATAAAAAATAAAACTGACTATAGGCTGGGCTTTCCTGAGTGCTCAAAAATGACTTAACGGGATGAAACTTGAACTAATTTCCATCATATCATATCTGAATCATCTCCATACACTTTTAGTTGATACACACGTCTTATGATATTTAGCACACGTGTTTTTAAGCGTAAATAGATCACCATACTAAAATATGATGAATATCTATTTAATTACAAAAATACCACATACATAAATAGTAATAAAAAGGTATACGGCTTATCAGATGGACAAGTGTAGTAAGTAATTCAGTTTACAATATGAGTAGGTCATATATTATAAACGGCTATTACCTAAAATATAAGAATTTATACGTTGTGTAGTAGAAGCGTGCAATGCATGCATCTAATACTAATAGTAATAACATTACGGCTCTGCAAATAAACATTAATTATAGCGGACAAATAAACGTTGTTTTTATGTTAGTGGGAATCGTTATTTATCACCTTCAATACGATGCCTTTTCTAGTTTGAATAATTAAAGTGCGACGTATCAAATATAATCTTAATATAGAATTAATTTATATTTTCTCAAAACGTATTTTCATTTGCGCGTCGTGTTGGAGATAGATAATTTACTATAAATAGACACACTCCGTACCTAACTGTTCTCAGTGCTTACTACCTTAGAAAGTTATTCTTACCAGTAATTTTGTAATCCTGAATTGTATTTAGAAAAATATTAATCATAATTCATCATATTTGTACTGCTAAAGACATTATCAGCAAATACCTTATAATAAATATTTTATAGGTAAATGGTGACATGTTTGTTATTATGCAATTCACATAAAGTTAAATCGTAATACCTAGATTTGCCAAGTCGTAGTCATTGTTTGTGTTTGTGTGCTAACTAGACATGATATTTTAGAATACTACTAAGAAAATCGTACGATGTTTGTTTGTTGTTTATATTGCTATCGCGACGTTTTCATTGAGCCAAAACAGAGGTGTGGCTTACTGGCGTGTCACGCATTATTTTGCGCTGTATTTCTAATCGCGCAAACATGTTTTTGTTATTATTCTATAAAACCCGCGATAATTTATGCGCCACCTCAGTGGAAAACCAGTTCTTGAATGATAAACTACTCAAAAACTGTGCGTGTATTCAAAAAAAATTCTAATCTAGTTTTTATTTTATTTGGATTACGGTGAACGTGAATAAGAAACCGGAAGATAAATTTTTCGGTGTTTGTTTTGATTCGCTAATATTGGCAGCACTGATCGCGCGATTTTACGTCAACGGGTACTTGTTCTGTCATCGATCTAATAATATTGGCTATTTTAATTTTTTTGCCAAGGTTTTACATAAACACTAGTGTATAATAACGTTATAAAGACGTGAGTGTTTAGTGTTAACTTGTGGTCAGAACTTTAAAAAAACAATTACGCGTACGCGACTTGCACTGTTGTTCAATAAATATTTGTTATAGTCGGAAATACTGTTTTTACTTTAAAATATTTCGTTATAGACTGATTCAAAGTTTTTCAATCATGTCGTCGTTGGGGGGCCAGTGGCGAGCCATAAGACACTATCTTTCAATAACAAGCTTGAATTCTGAAGTAGAAAAATTAGTCCAAAGAATAAAGCCTGCTACACCAGAACAATGGGAAAGTAAGTGTAAATAAAAAGTGTTCCTGTTAACACACAAAGAAATTTTATAATAATAAATAAATTATAGATATTTGCTTATTTTTCAATATTAACCTAAGATTCAGCCTTATTTAAAAACATTGAAACACCCTTACAGATCTTATAAAAAAGTTTGAAAATGCTGTCACTCAACGATTGTCCCAAGGTGAAAGTAAAGCAAATGAAACAAAGTTCATAAAAGATACTGTTAAAGCAACAACTATAGAGGAAAGTAAAATTGGAACTAAGGCAAAATCAGAGAATCTTGAAGAAAAAGACGCCCTTACAGTAGGTTCTGAAGCTAAGGAAATAACTTTTGAAGGAATATGGGAAGGGATAAAATTAAAAAAGGATTTGCAATTAGGGAAAATGTCAGACCCCAGTTGGAAATCAAACAAACCAATTGTAACAAAGGTAGGTTTATATATAACTTAAGATTTACTTATTTCACGAAATAAATTTTCTTTTACTGATCCTGCATGGTCACTTCAATTACTAGATAAGGGGTTGAAAGAAAAGTAAAAGGAAATTAAAAAATTGAGATCTCAGTATTACCTTTCATGAAATTCAGTAGTTTTTCAAAACACTAAATAATGTATTTGCTAAAGATACTTGGTTTAAAAGTTTTCATACTTTTGAACTTGTTGATCAACACCTATTGTGAATCTGATTTTTTTGTACCAAAACTACCTAATAAATTTTAATGAAACTGCATTCATCCTGTAAGTTTGATACTTAAAAAATTTTTTTAATGTAATAAGTAGATTTCAGAGGTTTTCCATCTTTAATATTTGTGCTATATTTCAAAACCTTATCAAATGTTATGATGGATTATATATAAATAATGCCAGTAGAACAGATAACAAAAAACATGTTATTAAAGTGATATATCATGTTCTTAATACATGCTGTGAGTCGGCAACATTTTACATGAAATACTTTTATTTAGTATTGTATGTATTAAACATTTTAAACTCTTAGTAATATATAATTTGTTATATCATCAGTCTTAGATAGATCTTTGTTCTCTGAATTTAATTTCTAATTAGAACAAAAGAGCGTCAGCATTTTTATGATGATAAAAACCTTTTTTGCCATCTGGCTTTCATAATGTGTGTAGTACACAAACATTTTATCAATTTTTTTCTCAAGTACTATTAAGATGGTGTTTGTGCTTTATAACTATTGTCATGCTGACATATTCATTATCAATATTTAATGTCACATTAATATGTAAAAACAGTGCTATCAGCTGCATTGTTTGTGTTATGTGAAAGACATGATAGCTGAGTATATAAATAACTATGAACTCATCTCTCAATGTGCCAATATATACTAGCGGCTACCGGCGACTTTTAGCGCGTGGAAATTGATAGTTCCAAGCAAAAAAATCAATTTTCGTTTTTAAAATTAATATATCGCAAAGTATAGGTTGTCTTATTGAGACTGATGCTTTTGAATTTATCGTATTAATATATATTATATTTTTTTTAATATTAGACACGGCGGAAAACTGATTTTTATAATAATATAAAAGTTAGACATGCTGTCGCTGACGCCTTTGTAGGCGTAGTATATTGTAGTATTATTAAGCTCTACAAGTTTTCTACGTAAAAAAACTTTTTTGTTATAGTTTTCTTCGACTTTGCAAATCCGACTACCTCGAATAAATATAATATTTCGTGTTTTTACTATTTCCTGGTTATAGCCTACTGACATATCCACATATTACGTGGCTTTCTATTGGTAAAAGAATTTTCAAAATAGGTTCAGTAAATCCAGAGATTACCCCACTTGCGATTGTTCTGGCTGTTATTGTCTACTGGCGGCGGTTTTATAAAAATATTCGAGTGATTTAAGGAAGTTAAGAACAAACTCTTTATGTAATTATCGAGAATATATTTGTGTAATCAAATTCAAATAAAAAACAACTCCACGTCATTCCTAACAAATCCTTGAAAGTTCTTGGATATACAATTTCCTTAGAATGGCTTCAAGTTTTTTTCGCGTATTCGTTTTGTATTACAGATAACTGAAATTTCAATACTATGATGGTGCTAAAAATATTTGCAAAATTATTAAAGCACAGAAACCAGTAACCTGTTCTAGGTTTCATTACGGGTTCTAGGCTTAGGTAGTTCAAATTTTAGATGAGTATTGAACAACCCCCTAACCTATTTAGCTCTGTTTAGATTGTATAAATAACAGTGCTAGTAAAGAAGTCGACCTTGAGGCGTTTTGAAGATTGTAATTCACGCGCACAAATAAACAGAGCGCTCATTCTACGCTTTTGCTTTAATAGTTACCTGTTCGCAATTTTTTTAAATCATCGGACGCGCTCTTTAGTTATTGGCTAAATTTAATTGTAGTCAAAAAATCTGTTACGTGATAAATTTTAGTTTTTAATTTTTTATTAATTTATAAAAGATATCCATTTATTACACAGCAAGTATGCTGCTTATAAATATGTAATATTGAGAGGATAAATATAATTCTATTGAGTAGAGCTCCATTAATATTTACGCTTTTCTACTAAAAACTCGTAATTTCGTAACAATTACGACTTGTTTTTTTATATAGACAGCGTAGAGTTATTGCTAAAATATTTTTATAAGTTTTGATTGACCGTGCATTTTACTATATTATTGGCTAATTTTAAAAGATTTTATATGTATACAATTTTTTTTTACTTCTTTTGAATGTAACAAACAAAAATTATAATAATTTCACATAATTTTTTTCAGACTTCAATCCACTCGCGAACATCGTACGTAATATCCGCCTTAGTTACAGCGGAAACTTCAGAATGCCTTCTTAAACGGACTGAACATTTTATCGAGCATTTGCAACAATACCCTGAAGCTAGGGATTACGCTATAAAGGTAGAATAGTATTAGTAATTATTGACTCTATTTTTTTATTTAAAAAAAACAGTGGCCCTACAATTCTGTTAGGTCTAGGTCTCTGGATATATTTCGTGATCATTTGTTTTTTCTAATAGGCACCTAGAATTTAACACACGCCGTCGAGTTTTTGGGTCTCAGGCATGTCGTTTTCCTCATGATACTTTCCTTGACGTACGAAACTACGCTGAAACCACCAAGCTAAACGCTATTTTTTTCAAATTTTTAACCAACTTCAAAACTCTGCATGAAATGTATGTACATATATAGGCGGAAGTATTCTTGCCAAGGATTCCTTGGTGTAGTAATATGGTATATATTGAACTACTTCCACAAAACACCTTTTTCAATCATTTAAAATATTTTTAAATACTACTAGTTTTTAATTAATATACATTAAAACATAAAATCTTTATGTTTAAAAATGTGTGTATATTTTTAATTGTAGCATATTGTCATATCTTATATTTTAAATTCATACTATTATTGTAACTAATTTATAAAATTTTTGGTTTCAAGGAAGGCGCAGTAAGAGCATTATTAAGAGTACAACACAAGCTGAAGTCTAGTGACGTGTCTTTTGGTGATGACGTCAAAGGAATTGTTAATGAGGTTAGTTTTTTATTATAATTTAAACTTTTAAAAATTAATTTGGTAAAAACAACAGAAAAATTAAACTTAGTCAATAAAAAAAAAGTAATAATGTAAATTAATTTAATTTCCAGGCTTTAGCTCTGATGGGGTACACAGGCCCGACAAAGAGCCGTGGTCCCAATGTATTGTCAATAGATGGCGGTGGTATTCGAGGAATTATCGCGATTGAGATATTGCGGCATCTAGAAATATTGACTGGGAAAAAAGTTCACGAACTATTTGATTATATTGTTGGAGTTAGCACAGGAGCTATCATTGCAGCAGTTATAGGTAAGTCTTAAACATAATTGTCATATTTAAGACACCAATAAAATAAACATAAAACCCATACAATAGGTCCGAGGTCCAAACCTGAAAAGTTGTATCGACAAGTTACATATTAAATGATAGACTTTTGATTGCATAATATGTGTCCCAACCTCGGTTTTTAGGGGTTGGGATATTTAATACAGATCGTTCCTATAATTCAGTGGCCAGCCTTATTACTTTGTTAGTAACACAAATATTCACTTAACATTTTGTGAAAGGGTTTCTGGACCGAGCGTTCGGTCTCAATAAAAGTTATTTTCTCGAGTTAGAACTTAAATAGTAGTGATAGGTGGTTAGTATAAAAAAATCGCTAATTATTTATTGAGTATAGTAAAATGCCAAATAGTAACGAAAAAAAAATTACGATAACAAAAATACTAGATTAGATTTTGTGTTCTAGATTCATAAATACTTATCATAAAGTGAAAGTTCGAGCGTACTTGCCAATTTGTCTTGTACGTGTTATATTTGGGGCCATTTATTTGGCAAGATAACCTAATCAAGGGAATAGATTATGTATGTCTCTACTGTAGACGCGTATACCAGATAACTTTAAAAACTGCTAAAATCAGAAGATATAAACCAGGAGTTTAAGACAAAATCAGTTTTCGTCAGTCGTGACCAACTAACGCCAAACGAATGTGTATGAAAATGGTCACGTGATAAAGCGTGACCATTTTGTCTTTCACCCTAGAGCCCCCCAAAGTGGTTATAATGCCCCTCTTCCTTACGACGATTTGCTTCACGACATTTGCGAGTGCTAAATGGGCGAATCTTATTATCACTATTCCTATGTGCGATATTGGAACGGTATTAGCAAATTACACGTCTACTTCTAAAAATAAAAATCATGGTAGGAATGCTGCATGCGTTGAGGATCTAAGTCCAGACCCATTGAGGGTTGTAGCGCCACTGAAGCATTATTAATATACAATTAAATTTGTTCCAGCAAGTGGAGCAGGCACCTTAGAGACTGCCAATCAAATGTACGTCACTCTGTCTAAACAAATGTTTGGAAACACATCACTAATTGGCGGTAAGACATGTTTTAATTAATTGCGATTCATGGTCTACTTGATGTAAACTTATAGGAATTGTAAATATTTTTTTTTTGTGCGAGTACTACACATTTGAATAAAAAGTACTCTTAAAACCGCTATAAAAAATATTTAAATTGTAGTAGTTTTTTTAGTTTCAACAAAATCTAACTTAATTATTGATAATATTTGACTATGTGTTACAAATTTCTCTTTCTCTTTGATTCTAATCAGGTGTTCCAACTTGGGAACAGTCCAACTTTCATCAAAATAGGTTAGTCATTTCTAAGATTAGTGTCTGAAGTAAATAATGTTGACAGATATTTGAAGTCGGTTTAATTTATGTAAATTGCTCTTATATTTTTAAGTTTAATGAATGAATGTATGAATAATTTTCAACGTATAATTAATAGGTACGTCAAGATTAGTATGGACCCACTCGTACTACGACACAGAGGCGTGGGAGAAAATGTTACAGGATAATTTAAAAGGCATCACTCTTACTGAATGCAACCGTTATAATATGCCTAAAGTGAGTTATTATATTTTGCTAAAACATTTTTCACACAACTTATTTGTCGGCCATTGAAACCAGTTTATATCTATGCTTTTTTATTATAATTATTTTATCAAATACCTGTACCTGTAGCTTTACCTACTATTACTATTAAACAGCTTGTTTTAATTTGTAATGGTCAAGTCACGCGGTTCGACAAATTAATGTAAATTATCTTACTATTATATCTGCATAGCATTTTTTATATTGGAATCTTGTGAACCATTATAATTTTTCTCATTTCCACAAATGATTAAAAAATAAAATGTATGAATATAATGTAGCGACACCTACATTCTATGCTTACAAATCACTTCGATGACGTTGTGGCGTCCTCCTCGTACAACAACGCGAACCCTATAACGTCATACTACATATGCGCTTAAGATATATAGAACTTAAGAGACCTTAGCCACTGGGGCCTATGGGCCGCCCAGTCGTGGTTAAACTGGTCGAGGATCCTCCCTTTAGGTTGGAGGAACATTACACCATCCTTCCTCCACATAATAATCATATTAAGCCACCTATCACTTATTAAAGTTTATAGGGGTTTCACTATGGATTCATTAAAATTTGATTTCTCTAACGACAATTCCTAATAAAAATATATTTTATCTTTAGTTTACCATAATAAACATCTTTCTGTTTAAGTATATTGATATGAAAGATACAATATATAAATTAGTAAAATAGTGTAGTCTGATTTATTGAATAACGTTGAAACATCTCTCCTAGATGTCAGTGGTATCGTGCGTAGTGAACTCCGGTTCCCGTCTCGCCCCGTTCCTATTCCGTACGTACGAGTGCGGGTTCCGCGTACGATCCGTATTTCCTGGAACGAGTCGGGCTCAACTCTGGCAGGCTGTGAGAGCATCTGCCGCCGCACCCACTTATTTCACTGAATTCAACTTAGATGGATTATTGCATCAGGTAATCTTTAATAATTCAGTATAAATAATTTACTTACCTTGTTTTGATAAATTTCTAATGGATATAAGTATCTCTTTCTCCATAAAAATACTGACTGGCTGAAAGTGACTTCCTAAAAGGTCCATTTTCTACTTCGTATCTCGCCATCTTGAAGGCCGTCAAATATGCCAACATTCCTACAGGTTAGTTTGACAGCGTCAGCGTCGTAATTTGGCGCGAACTTTGGCTGCCGTATGTCAAAAGTAAACGTTTCTTACCCTTGGCTGTATGGACCAAAGTCCTTTGCCTTTCCCATTAGGGATAAATTAATATTATCATCGTTTCTAACCTTTTGTTCGTAACTCAATTGGTCAACATTTTCGTTTAGTTGCAAATATACACATATAAAGAACGTTTTATCATTATTTTTTTAATCAAACTATAAAAAATAACTATAGTATGTATATATATATATTTAATAGCGTATTTAAATTATAACATCGCTGACAGGATGGAGGGATCATGGTGAACAATCCAACAGCAGTGGGCCTACATGAAGCCAAACTATTATTCGGTGCAAATGCTATGAAAAATGGTACAGTAATATCCGTGGGGACAGGCCAGGCATTAAACAAACATTTGGATTATCAACTCCTTAGTAAGGGCTTAGCAAAGGACACGTCTGGAACAAGTTGGAAGAATAAATTTAATAAAATTCTTGACTCGGCGACGGATACTGAAGGTAGGCACAAAATTCTTACGCATTTCTTGTGCGATATTTATAAAGATCGACAACGCATTTACAAAAGCTCTTCATGGACTGTGGTTTTCTTGGCCCACCAGTTGGTTCTATTGCTATGCTATTATTATTATGTAACCTAACATTAGTTAAGGTACATATACATAAATATATTTTAGTTGATAATTGGAAGCGTAAACCAAATGTTTTTCATTCACCCATAAATTATCGAACCGATAATGCCCAATAGGTCGTCTACACTTATATTGAAGTCCCACCTAGGTTTAAAAACCCCTAAATAAGCCAAAGCAGTTTTTTGTTAGCCTACCCGCAACCCCACTACCCCTTATTTTATGTTAGTTACAAGCTCAAGTTTTAAATGACTAATCCAGTTGACACCCGGATTCAAACAAAAAGTTTCATTTAACATACATTTGAACATTCCTCCAATTACCGCCACCGAACTTAACTCCGCGTCAATATTCATTAAATAAATGCATTCAAAAGGGACGTTAGAACTTTGAAGGCATATTATTTTTATAAAGCGGAGGATTTCTTAGATAAGTTTTGACATACCTGTTAATTAACATGACTGGTTTTAATAATATTTTGACTTAGTTGAATTTACGTAATTTTTCCTTCGCAGGTGTACACCTAGCCCTAAACGATCTCCTTCCACCGGGTTCATACTACCGTTTCAACCCACCGCTTCACGAGGAATGCGCGATGGACGAAATCAACCCGGAAAAACTGAAAAACATGATAACAGATACGAACGCATACATTCGCAGGAACCAGCACAAATTCGAACAAGCCGCCGCCATGTTGGTAAGAAAACGAACTGTTGCACAGAGGGTATTCGATTTTGTTGAGCATAGAGCTCAGTTAATGGGCATCAGTCAGGCGAATTGACAGACAATTGACAGGCTTCCTGTCAATCAGCTTGTTGAAGCCGACGGTGATTTACCGAAGTCAAAGGTAAAATAATCGGAAGTTGTGTTTACGAATTTCGTAAAATGTTTTAAAGTGTATCTGGAGATAGGGTTATGTGCATCTAGTTTGATTACTTTGCAATAAAATTATATGACGTTATGTTTTTTTGTGATTTTAAATTGTTTAATTATAAAAATAATAACTTGTTGGATGAAGGATGTTGGAGTCGGCTTCAAGACTTGGAATACTAGATTTTTCTAGAACATTCCATTTTTTATTTTAGTTTAGTCTCTCAGTTTAAGAGCTGTTATAGTGGTTTCTTCGCTTAATGAATCTACGTCTTATGGACTCTTATACTGCTAAGCTTTTGTTAATAATTCCTATATTTTTTGCATTGTTGATATGAAACGGCTTATAGTAAAATCATGTAGAGAAGCAATTGTGATATTATAATTAATTGTTTAAATAAGTGTTGCTAGAGGAGATAATGATTTATTTGCACGGTAGTACAACATTCGCCTTATTTCTTTATGTATATTTTATTCTCAAAAAAGTGTTAAATATGTTATAGAGTATGGACGCATAATATACTGTTTTCAATCTAACAACAGAGACAAAGTTCGAATATAGAAATCTTTAAGATTGAATTAATAAATAATTACATCGTTATTTAGATTATTGTGACGTTTAAAGGCGTTTTAATATCCACTGTTATGTGATCCTTAAATTGAACTTAAGACATAATCCAAAATTTCAGGGCAAAGAACCAAGTTCTAAGGGTAAACCAATTCAGGGTCAAACTATAGCGCGGGCTATGACTCTCGGTTGTCAAAATCCAATACATTTTTCATGTACGGGAGATAGGCTTAGCTACGTAATCTGTGGGACAGAACTTACGCATTATTTGACGTTTGATATGTAGCAGAGTTTGAAACTTCACTCGATAAATGGCTTTTCCGCGGATCGTGGATTAAGTTCACTTAAAAAATAAGCCTAGCTTATAATATATTAGTTATTAAAAAGAATTTATTATTAGCATGTAAGTAGTTGTAGATGATACTCTAGTCATTTGTAATTTCATGAATAAAATTTACATTCGAAAATTTGTTTTATTATCATTGCAATCAAAATGCCAACACATTTTGGGTAGCAGAGCCAGAATTTTCGAAACGAGACTTAAGGCTCCCACACAAAACTGCGAATTCGCATCGCATCGCAAATATCTGCGAATTCGCACGAACGCAACGCAAGAATTTCCGATCTGCTTCGCTTTGTTTTATTATCATTGCAATCAAAATGCCAACACATTTTGGGTAGCAGAGCCAGAATTTTCGAAACGAGACTTAAGGCTCCCACACAAAACTGCGAATTCGCATCGCATCGCAAATATCTGCGAATTCGCACGAACGCAACGCAAGAATTTCCGATCTGCTTCGCATCGCACATTCCTGCGATTTTACGTCATCCTTGGTGACACCATTTTAGTCCGCTCTGAGACAAACAATTAAAATGTCAATAAATACATTTTGTTTTACTTTACCTGATAGTCAGTCCCAGCATTTCCAAAGGCATAACAGGAATTCTTCCCTTGTACGATCGTTATTGAAGGCATGGTGATAATATACTCAAAAGCTCTTTAAATGAAGATATGCTCATTCTAAAATAATCAAAAAATTTATCTTCAGTTCTCAACGCATAGTACTTTTGAATAAAATAGTTCCCATCAGAGTTCATAATCGTAATGAATGGATGAACCCAGAATCTTCTTTTTCTTTTATATCTATTTAACAATAACAGCAGTGCAATAATCTTTTTGCGATCCATCTTACGCTTCTTAAAAACACATTCAGTACGGCTGGTTTCGAAGGAATGGTCGCCCTACCAAACGGTTTGACGCACTAAATCGTATCGCAAAAATTCGCATCGCATCGCAGTTTTGTGTGGGATCCCTTAGCGCGAACTACGATTCGCGTAAGCCAAAATATAATACATTGATGTGCCTCCGGAAAACACAGCATTGTATAATGAAGAAGCAATGTATACTTAGCCATGAAGTGCGATACATACCGAGTGAAGTAGTTCCGCTTAGATAGAATAGATGGCGCTGTAATCGCCTCAACTTCATACTTATCTTAACCAGCTAGGACGTTGTCATTTCCACAGTCATATCGTTGTGTACTTTCGCCGCGTGCGGTCGAAACCGAAACGACTCAATAACGACTTAAAACCTTAGTCTTTCTTAGTGTTAATTATTAGCAAAATGCATTATTTATACATTACAAGTGCGTAATGGACTCACGATGCCGATAAGGCCGCCGCCGGGGCCGATCAGGCAGGTAGTCTAAAAAAGTGTCGAAACCGAAACGGCTCAATAACGACTTAAAACCTTAGTCTTTCTTAGTGTTAATTATTAGCAAAATTCATTATTTATACATTACAAGTGCGTAATGGACTCACGATGCCGATAAGGCCGCCGCCGGGGCCGATCAGGCAGGTAGTCTAAAAAAGTGTCAAAACCGAAACGACTCAATAACGACTTAAAACCTTAGTCTTTCTTAGTGTTAATTATTAGCAAAATGCATTATTTATACATTACAAGTGCGTAATGGACTCACGATGCCGATAAGGCCGCCGCCGGGGCCGATCAGGCAGGTAGTCTAAAAAAGTGTCGAAACCGAAACGACTCAATAACGACTTAAAACCTTAGTCTTTCTTAGTGTTAATTATTAGCAAAATGCATTATTTATACATTACAAGTGCGTGATGGACTCACGATGCCGATAAGGCCGCCGCCGGGGCCGAACAGGCAGGTAGTCTAAAAAAGTGTCGAGCAAGGTCACGAACAAGACAAAGAGGACTCCACGTGCACCAGCAGCGCGTCTGATAGCGACTCGGAGCGCGAGGGACCGCCACGAAGGAAAAGGAAACGAGTAGCTCAGGTAACGGTCGATCCCATGATCGACGCGTTATATAATCAGGTGAGTTTCCTCACAAATTTTATAATGCATCAACAATATGTACCAAATGTCAACGCCAGTGCGTCCAATGACGAGGGTACCCACCGACCGACCAAATGCTATAATAAATAAAATAAAATAGCCTTTATTGCTGTTCTATCTTACAATAATACTCATTAATTAATACATGCCTAACATAATTACTTTCTAAATACTTTTTTACGACCAAATACTATAGCGATTTTTTATTAATCCGTCGACCGGAAAATCGAAATCTCTGCACTTGGGGGTAGGTATCACAAATATTGATGATAAAAAGATTATTAAGAAGGCCGATGAAAAAAAAAATTACAAAATAGATATATAAAAATATATTAGACTTATAAAACTCCAACATTTTAATACTCCCACGTGGCAACATATTAGATCCAAAAAAGCCCTGGTAGACATGCTGGCGTCTCCAGGCTTTTGTAACCTGAAAATTAACGACGAAATATGTTGTCTTAACAAAGAAAAAGATTTCTTGGCCTCAACAGAGGAAATAATGGCTGCGACTACCCACGCGCCCTTGTGTCAAAGGGAATTACTACAATCTGGATTACAAAAAATCATAGACTGAACTCGTAATAACCCAACGGAATTAAAACCCGCTAATCTTTTCACAAAAATATCCTATATTGTTGGTAATGAATCACCTTCTCACAAATTGCATGAACAAACCCTGCAAATTGTATGCGGAATACGAGCGGAATGTATAGAAACTAGGTGTAAAAGATTAATAAGTGAGATTTCGGACAAAAGTATTCAAACTGCGCATAGTAATATACCTCCTAGCGAGGAAATTTTATTTGACAAAAATAAGCTCGCGTCTCTCATACAATCCCTCGGTGGGCCGCAATTCTGGTTATTATTGGTTATTAGGTTGCAAGAAGATCTCAAGTAAAAAATTTAAACAATATTTTTATATCCATCAACAGAAAAATAATTGGGTCGAAATTCATCCAATAGATGCTATTTGTTATTACACGGGGTAATTGGAAATCTTCAAATACATACATTCTTTAATCATTACTGCCGCGAGATAGGCTCTCGTAGAGAAAACTCATCACTCTTTCTTTAATACATTTGCACCATCGTAATTCAATCAATATAGTTATATTTATATCGTAACCAAGAATAATAATTGCTAAATACTTATGCTTTGATTAAGAATATTGGCAAGTAAATAAAATAGTTATATAAACAATAACGGCTTTAGCTAAAGCCCTGACTTTAATTCTTCATAATCATCATAGCGTTGTGTTTTATACTGTAGTACTTTATACATCCACCAGCAGATAACAAACACGTCTTCATTATACAATGCTGTATGTTTTCCGGAGGCACATCAATATGACGGTTTTACATAAAAATAAAACCGATATTATGTGCCGAGAAGGAAAACATACAGCATTGTAGGAAGCTCTTCCTAGTGAAGACTATATGACTGTGGAAATGACAACGTCCTAGCTGGTTAATATAAGTATGAAGTTGAGGCGATTACAGCGCCATCTATTCTATCTAAGCGGAACTATTTCACTCGGTATATATCGCACTTCATGGCGAAGTATACATTGCTTCTTCATTATACAATGCTGTATGTTTTCCTTCTCGGCACATAATATCGGTTTTATTTTTATGTAAAACCGTCATAATTTTAATATGCCTATCTAAATTCTAAATGTTTATTTTACATTTACCTGCCTACTACACAAATTTAAGTGGTAGATATTCTGTACGCATTACATACCAACTAAAGTGATAAAAAATATGAGAGTTTCAAGAGATTTTTTTTTCAAATATGTTTGATGTTTAGGAATAGTGCTCAGGAAGAGGTTATGACTTGATCACTATTCTGTGCCGCTCACACGCCGTCGATTTTCGTATCTATAAATGCGGGTTTCTCCAATCTCCACCGTAAGAGCAACAGCCGTGGTGATGTGGATATGTATTTTTTAAATTTTAAGGATTATGTCATACTATTACTAATTGCAGATCTAGGTAGATATGTTACATTCAAATATTTCTTCTTCGCATAAGATTTTAAATGAAATTTATTAAATTTTGAATTGAAGAGGAAATGAAAATAACATTGACCGTTTCTTTAACTCAGCGGCGATAGAATATTCTAGAACCGTGTTGTTCAATATTGTATGACATAATACGGTACCTCGGCCACTTTCACTTGTGAAGAGCATGATTCACTTCCATGTTCAACCGGATCGTAAGGAATAATGTACTGTCCCTGTAATAGAATAACTCTAACAAAAAATAAACATTTTAAAGTAATATTACCAATAACAGTAATAGTAACACTTAACAGGTCCCAATCCTGTTAGGCGGCAATGACACAAATCGTAATTGGTTTCAATGAATATATTAGATTTCTAATAATCCTAATTTTTTGATGGCTTATGATATATAGAAGCACCAGCTAATTAAATAATGTAGATAGAATTTATTGTAAGTATTATATCTACATTTTACCTTCTAGAATCTAAATGATCAACTCCTAGCATACTTACTAAGATTGATCATGAGACTACGTTTTGGACTATTCTTACCGCTGCCGAAAACAATATATTTGATATGTATTTTACTCGTACAATCCAGCGTCAACTAACTGCTATTCAGGGCCGCGCCGACCCCCGGCAGCGCCTGTGTGCGAAACCCATGAAGCGCCTCCTTTTTCTATAGGGGTCAAACGAGCCTTAGGGACGGAAAAAAATGGCAGTCATTGAATCTCATAGACATTTTTAGCGGGTGTGTTGCAGGCCTTTGAGGGAACTCCTTCTATATTTCGGCCTATTTTTTAAGAATCTTCAAGTTTCAATGTATTTTTTTAATTTTGACTGAAAGAAAATTTTTCTTTAGTTTAGTCCACTTAAATAGGTAAAACGTCCGCTGGCCAATTGCCGTGAAAAATAAAACGTGAATTAAATTGTTACATAGTTTATTTATGATGTTATTTTTATCTAACCGTTTTTAAGGTCAGATTTATGACATATCTTTGTAATAAATCCCATCTTTTAGTAGAGGACGAAAAATATTTATATAGTTCTTGCACAATATTAAAAAACGCAGTCGTGTATGAGATGTGCAGCGTCATTTATTATTTAATTTAAACTATGGCTGGCGCACGGACATAAAAAGTGCGGAGATTTACTAGTACATCCCGCAATATTCTTACCGCGCATATTTGAGCCATTATCATAGCCTTGCCCCCTTAAGTTCTTTATGTCCAAATTAATTTCGTTTAGTTTTTCTATTATAAATGACGTTACTCCAGCGCCAGTTGTATCTACGATTGAGCAGAAAGTGCTATTATAAATTGGAAAGCTAGGAAATGCTCTCTTATTCTTAACTTTCTAGTTTACATGTTAAAGTTGACAAATCTTATTATCATACTAATTTGCTCTTCGTGTGAAACGTCAGTAGTACAATCCAGTATTATTGAAAAATATTTATTAATTCGACATAAATTTAAAATAAAATGTTGAATTTGGTTACCGAGTATAAAAAATAGTTCATTTTGGATTTTATCAAGGTATGTCGGCATATTATTGAAATCATAAGACATAAACACACTCAAAAAACTCACGGCGGTCACCAGCGGCCTTTCTTTTGATTCGCTAAGCTCTGAGTAATTAATGTAAACTAAAACCTAAAGCGTAAAATGAAACTTCAAACGTACGTAAGAATATTGTAGTGTAGTATAAATAATTTCGGTGGCGGCGCCCTTATTGTATCAGCGCCTGTGTGCACCGCACACTTCGCACACATGGGCGGCGCGGCCCTGCTGCTATTCCCCGTTTGCTCTCGCAGCTTAATAGCTTGCTCCGCTCTCGCCGTAGAGCGACCTATTTGTGAAGCGTTTGGGGGTAATATACTGTGATTTAAAAACGTACTTAGAGACGATTAATGTATAGCAAAAGGTTTTAAGTATGTATAATATTTTTTGTTAAATTATAAATAAATAACTTGCGCTTGTCAAATTATTCTTATTTGTAGTGTATACTAATTAATTAATATTAGTTTTGTCATCAATATTGAAGAAGATGAACAGAGTAGGTACCTAATTACCGTATATCATTACTTAATCATTTCCAAGGACAAAAAGCACAGGTAACACGTTTATGAGGGATCATTAACATTCACAACACACTTTCTACTCCCGAGCAGTTTTGTAACTACTACGTTGGAGAACGCACGTAGATACTGTAAAATAAAATAACGAGAAAGTTCGTAGTGAATAATGGAAAACTGTTGGAAATTATTTTTGATCGCGGTAAGTTTAGTGAATAGTGTGTTTTATTATAGTGAAAGTTAGGTTTCGCTCCGACCCCTGCTAAATTGTAGTCAGACTTATATAGGTACTTATAATCCAAGGAATGAGCACTACCCTATTCAAGCTTTAATTGTACAAGATTCTAACTTAAAATAGGTTAAATTTTGATCAGAGATGAAGGTTGAACACTATTAGCTAGATCTTGCATTGATTCTTAATAACAGTGTATTTTGTTGCTTTGGCGACTATGGTAATGTCTGGTCTGTTTTATACGCAGGATCTATGAGGTGAACTGAACTGAGCAGTGTGTTATCACAATTAGTCAATATCTTAATATTGAAATATTTATAAACTTTAAACTGCTAATGTTGCCGTACGTAATCATTGAGTTAAATTAATGAACAGGCGCTTAAAACGATCGAATTAACTGTGTGTATTTGAAATCCTATCTCTGGGGGCCTACCATGAACTCTTATTGCGAGCCTATTGACAACCTACAACTGAGATGCATCGCTAATTCGTACCATGACATCGAAAAAACGAGACAGTTTATGTTCCCACGTAACCTTAGCGGTTATCAGATTTCGTTCGTTCAATTTGTATGAAAATCCGTACCATGACCGCTCGGCTGAACCGAAATTTGACAGTTGCGCCTTCCAACTATGACAGAATAAGCGATTCTAAAAAAGTTACTTTTCGTTCAACTTTTTTGGTCGAAATGTCCAAATAATAGTTTAGAACCTATAAAATTCAATATTTGTATTAAAACTTGTTAATAAAGTTAAAATAATAAGATTTACATATCTACTATGGCTAATATAGGAAAAAAAAATATAATTTTTATATTTCCGAGATGAGAAACAAGACGGCAATGCCCTTCCGACTACCGACTTCGTAGATATTGAGTTTATAATTTACTATAGATTATTGACTTTGATTCATTGAAGATTTCAGTGTACCTACAAATAATTGCACATTGTTCAATAATATTCAATTAATTATTTATGCATGTCTAACAAAAACATAATCCCCCAATATAATATCATAGTTTACAATAAATAAGAATGCCATATTACTAGCAGATATTTATTATAATTAAATTTTTCCTCACTATGTTCATGAATTGTATTATTCTCCTCTGCTTTTTGTTGTTTAAAAAAACATAGGTATTTTCAAATTTATAATGTGTATATAATAAGCCATTTAAAAATATTATAATAACAGTATTTATTTAGTTAGGATGACTCCATCAAGTTCAATTGGATATAAACATTTATTCATATAGTCTCACAATTTAGCGATTTTGTCAGGTTAAGCTGTAAAGAAAATTATTATTATTATAGCCTCTTTATTTCCATAATGAATAACATATTAAACAAGTATATCATATGATTAATTATTACATAATATGTGCATGCATTAAAAAATACAATATTATTATTTATAATCTTTAAATTATATTCCAATCATAATTAATAATTTCAATGTATATACGTTTGAAATGATAAATTAATTAATAAGAATCAAAAACAAAATTCATTTTTATAAATCATTATAAAGTCAGTTAAATCATTATGAATCCCTCTACAGGTAAAGGCCTCCTCCATTTTGCTCCACATCAGTCTGTCTTTTGCTTTGGTGGTCCAGTTTTCAGCAGCTTTTCTTTTTATTTCATCAATCCAGTTTTACTTTGGTCTACCTCTTAATCTTTTTGTTGGTTCTTGCCAGGTTACCCTTGGTGTCCATTTTTCCTTGTCTATGCGAGCAGTAAGACCCACCCAATTACATTTTTGTCTAAAGCGTCTATTATTTTTGTTATTTCTCTTCCGATGTTGTCTTTGTATGTTTAGTAGACTCCTTTCCATCGTTCTCTGGCACACTTGTATTTTGTTTTTGGTGTAGTTATTGTAAATCCATGCCTGGAAGCCATATGTAAGACGAGGTATTAAATATGAGTCCATTATATTTTTTTTTAAGTTTTAAAATTCTTATGTAAGGGTTTCTTTATTGCTCCAGGATTTATTCCAGGTTATGTTGACTCGTCTTTTAACCTCATCTTCGTGTCTTGTCTTTGAGAAAGATACTTGGCCCAGTAAACATAGCTTTAAACATATTGTAATGTACTGTTATTAACCTTTATTGGAATAGTTTGGTGGTTCGTTATAATAATAATCTTTCATTTGATAGAAAAGATTTTGCATTGTAAGTGCATATGTCGAGGTTTTGTAGTCGAGATGGAGGGTTGTACTCATTATCCCCCGCGGTGACCAGCCGTATTGGGAGATGAAGAGGTTTCTGTAAAGAAAATAAAATTATTTATATTATATGCATTAGTTCACGTATAAATTGAATTTGTACAATTTGAAGGAATTAATTTTTATTATAGTTATATAAGTTGATTTGTAATATCTTTTGCAAAGGGTTTTATATGATATAATACGTATATATATACGTATTAGTAATTCACTTCGATATAGGTTTTTAATTTTAATTAACAAATTTGTGAACAATACTTACCCCATTCTATTATTTTATAAGTTAAACAATTTGTAAATATATTTGTAAAACCGAAATTTTGTAAACACCAAAATATTGAAAGCTCCTATCAAAATTTGACGGAAACGTTTAGAAATACTAAGTGTCACTATCACAGTACCAGAAAACTTTATGTTTAAAATATATCAAAAGAATAGTTTTACATTAAATAAATATATATATTAAGACATAATAGCTTATTGAAAATGATGAATTATTTAAAATAATTTTATATTTTATTTATTTTTATAGAAACATCTGTCGAAGTAAGTTTGACAGTTAAATTTCTAAACTTACATATAGAAACCACAAACAAAATTATCGTTCTTTCATTCGGTCTTGCGATGCTAATACGTTTCAGCTTATAGGCGGTCATGGTACGAAAAAATGCTATTGACTTTAGGTACCTAAACTCCGCTGCATCTCAACTGGATTGTTTTAAGAAAGTTCATGGTAGGCCCCCTGGTTGCAAAAGATTGCGATTGAGAAAGTTAATTTGATTGTTTTATTTTTTAAGTATAAATTACTGGGGGCCTACCATGAACTTTCTTAAAACAATCCAGTTGAGATGCAGCGGAGTTTAGGTACCTAAATTCAATAGCATTTTTTCGTACCATGACCGCCTATAAGCTGAAACGTATTAGCATCGCAAGACCGAATGAAAGAACGATAATTTTGTTTGTGGTTTCTGAGTACGTTTAGAAATTTAACTGTAACTTACTTCGACAGATGTTTCTATGAAAATAAATAAAATATAAAATTATTTTAAATAATTCATCAATCACAATAAGCTATTATGTCTTAATATATATATTTATTTTATATAAAACTATTCTTTTGATATATTTTAAACGGAAAGTTCTCTGGTGCTATGACAGTTGACACTTACTATTTTTAAACGTTTCTTTCAAATTTTGATAGGAGCTTTCAATATTTTGGTGTTTACAAAATTTCGGTTTTACAAATATATTTAGTATTTACAAATTGTTTAACTTATAAAATAATGGTATGGGGTAAGTATTGTTCACAAATTTGTTTATTAAAAATAAATACCTATAACGAAGTGAATTACTGATATAAAACCCTTTGCAAAAGATATTACAAATCAACTTATTACTCTAAAATTATAAGTAACTATAATAAAAAATAATTCCTTCAAATTGTACAAACTCAATTTATACGTTAACTAATTCATATAATATAAATAATTATACTTTCTTTACAGGAAAGCCCCTCTTCATCTCCCAATACGGCTGGTCACCGCGGGGGATAATGACTACAACCTTCCATCTCCACTACAAAACTTCGATGTATGCACTTACAATGCAAAATCTTTTCTATCAAATGAAATATTATTATTATGATGAACCACCAAACTATTCCAATAAAGGTTAATAACAGTACATTACAATATGTTTAAAACTATGTTTACCTGGGTCAACAAGTATCTTTCTCAAAGACAAGACACGACGATTAGATTAAAAGACGAGTCAACAAACCTGGAATAAATCCTGGAGCAATAAAGAAACCCTTAAATCAGAATTTTAAAACTTAAGAAAAAAATTATGGACTCATATTTAATACCTTGTCTTACATATGGCGTCCAGACATGGATTTACAATAACTACACCAAAAACAAAATACAAGTGTGCCAGAGAACGATGGAATGGAGTCTACTAAACATACAAAGACAACATCGGAAGAGAAATACAGAAATAAGGAAAACAACAAAAATAATAGACGCTTTAGACAAAATGTAATTGGGCGGGTCTTACTGCTCGCATGGACAAGGAAAAATGGACACCAAGGGTAACCTGGCGAGAACCAACAAAAAGATTAAGAGGTAGACCAAAGTAAAACTGGATTGATGAAATAAAAAGAAAAGCTGGTGAAAACTGGACCACCAAAGCAAAAGACAGACAGATGTGGAGCAAAATGGAGGAGGCCTTTACCCGTAGAGGGGTCCATAACGATTTAATGATACTTTATAATGATTTATAAAAATGAATTTTGTTTTTGATTCTTATTAATTTATTTATCATTTCAAACTTATTGATTATAAATAATAATATTGTATTTTTTAATGCATGCACATATTATGTAATAATTAATCATATGATATACTTGTTTAATATGTTATTCATTATGGAAATAAAGAGGCTATAATAATAATAATAATTTTCTTTACAGCTTAACCTGACAAAATCGCTAAATTGAGACTATATGAATAAATTTTTATAACCAATTGAACATTGCCTGAAGACATCTTTTTCTATCTTGATGGAGTCATCCTAACTAAATAAATACTGTTATTATAATATTTTTAAATGGCTTATTATTTACACATTATAAATTTGAAAATACCTATGTTTTTTTTAAACAACAAAAAGCAGAGGAGAATAATACAATTCATGAACATAGTGAGGAAAAATTTAATTATAATAAATATCTGCTAGTAAAATGGCATTCTTATTTATTGTAAAATATTATATTGGGGGATTATGTTTTTGTTAGACATGCATAAATAATTAATTGAATATTATTGAACAATGTGCAAATATTTGTAGGTACACTGAAATCTTCAATGAATCAAAGTCAATAATCTATAGTAAATTATAAACTCAATATCTACGAAGTCGAAAGGGCATTGTCTATATTTTAATAATTTATTTATAATCACACTCTAAACTCAAAATACCCCAAAATATCGTAAATATAAAAATTATATTTTTTTTCCTATATTAGCCATAGTAGATAAATCTTATTATTTTAACTTTATTAACAAGTTTTAATACAAATATTGAATTTTATAGGTTCTAAACTATTATTTGGACATTTCGATACAAAAAAGTTGAACAAAAAGTAATTTTATTCTTTTTTTTTAAGAATCGCTTATTCTGTCATAGTTGGAAGGCGCGACTGTCAAATTTCGGTTCAGCCGAGCGGTCATGGTACGGATTTTCATACAAATTGAACGAACGAAATCTGATAACCGCTAAGGTCACGTGGGAACATAAACTGTCTCGTTTTTTCGATGTCATGGTGCGAATTAGTGATGCATCTCAGTTGTAGGTTGTCAATAGGCTCGCAATAAGAGTTCATGGTAGGCCCCCTGAACTGTTTTTCATGAATTCTTGTATAAATATCCTGGTAAACGAATAAATGCATCTCAATTAAAATTTTATAATTTTTCAGCTCATAGTAGTTTTATCAATGGTTATCACTACAGAGTCTACTGTACCTCAACCACGAGCACCTAACTTCCAATATTTTGAAAGGTACGTATCTCATGTTTACGATATCTTTATATGAATTTTATATTCAAGTGTTTTATATTATAGTGTAGACGCCTTAGGTATAGCTACGCAAAAAGGTATTTTGTTTTTTAGTAAAATGCGCCAATTTCAGGTGAGCGTCAGAATGGCGGGTTTTTAGTCGTGTAGAAGGTTAAAATGTCGTTTAAAAATTACTTCCCAATTGCTTCTATTTGATTCCTACTACAAGACAATTGCTTCCTTAGTATCTTGGGAGAACCACAACAATATTAGTGACCGTCCATTCTGACGTCAGAATGGCTGGTCACCTATCCTATTGTACTCACTATAATGAATTATCGATTATTTCATAGTTCATATTTTGCTTCCTATTTGATTCTTCCTAGGTTTTCCATCCTCGATGCTGTACCTATTATGGAATTAAGATATCGAACAATGTTATAACAATTCCCCCCAGCGCCTGGTAAAAATATACAGGCAAAAAATATTTGGTTAAAATAAGTTTAATTATGGTTTATTTATATAAATATAGGTAGGTAGGTAGGTAGTAACAGAACCCCTAACTATATGTACTTTAACGGTAAAAACTTTCACAAAGTAAAGGAATAAAATATATTTTTTTATGAGAAAATAAAGTTATTGTTATTTAAAATTGTTTGCAACTATTTTTCTAGGTAGGTATGATGAATCCTAGGTGATTTTAAATGAGGGTAGTTTTATTTTTTATTACACTTGTCTTTTGTATTCGCTTGTAATATTGTCGTTATTTGCGGTCAAGCGGAAAGTTAATTTTTTTATTGCAAAAACCATTTCTTTTATAATGAAAAGAGGAAGAAAATTAGCAAAAGCGTTTTCACCATACAAAAACATATTTATAAGTAATAATTATTTTCCAGCAGCAAGTGACCCGGTGTATATAGAAATAAAAAGTGTGTCAGCTAACCCGATCACAGAAAAAGGACTTTATATATCTGTTCAAAAGAATTTTAATTATTTCTTTGACATCAAGTTAATTGAAAAACAGAGAAACAGTAACAGCATACAGGATAAACAGTAACAGCATACAGGATGACTATAGCGACCCTACTCAAGCTCAAGCAAGCAAGTCCATAAATTTTGATTTCATAATTGATCTGTACAAATGGGAAAAAATACAGCCAATCAGTAAACGAGTTCTAGTGAGGCATAATGCAAAATCTGTTCTCAAAAAGAAATTTAGTTTACCAAAACATATGTGGGCTCATCTATTACGAGAAGAAATATGGAAGGCAATGAAAACTCCCTGTTCTTGGATTTTTAAGCAATATTCCAACAAAAACGAAGATAGAACTATTCAATTCAGAGATGATTCTGTTTTCTCCAATAATCCAAGTTTAGTAGAAAATTAGAAAGGTCTGGGTATGGTAAAAACCAAAAATGAAAAGCAGAAACTAAAAAAAAAGTGTTTTTACTACCGGATGAAGGCAGATTAATTATTGCTAATGAAATTGTAATTACAACAAACACTTGTGAACTGGACTCCGTATGCCAAGCATTAGCTTTAGCATACGTCGATGGAAGTAGTATAAGTCAACTAATACATGAAAGTGATCACATTATGTGCCAGCTCATCCGATCTATATGTGAAAATAACAATAAAGAGGTTTATAAAATCAGATCATCCATTGCCAAAACTTATTATAAAAGGTTCAAAACGGAGATATGCTAGAAGTTGATTGTGAATGTAATGTGTTAAATTATTAATTCCATCAAATTATAATTTGATGGAATTCTGCTTGAGTGTTCTCTTTACAGTGCAGATGAAAAAGCGTCGTGCACTAATTCAACCTGCCCTATAAATGAAGTAGAAAAGTGTCTGTTTTACGTTTACATGATACACATGTAAACGATATTGAAGAAGCAGCGAATAGACAAATGCTCGATACACCCACCTTTATACCATGCCGTCAAGCAACTTGCGATGGTATCAAATCATTTGAACTGATCTTACGCAACATTATAAGTTTTGAAATATCGGATGAAACTGTTTCTGTTTATGAAGCACCAACAAACCTATTTTTACAGGGTAACGAATATGAATTTATTTCAATAATTGAATTTGTTCCGCCTGCTATTGGTACAATGGGCCACTATAAAGCACATTGTAGACGTGAAAATGTATGGCAATGCTACGATGATATGAATACAAGGATAATAAGAAGTTATAATAAAAAAATAATTCCACACTGTATTGTATACGTTTAAAAAAAGGAATAAAATAAAATAAATTAAAAAGACTTAAGAAAAATTAATGAATGAGTATTTACCTATTTTTATTATACCAATTTATTTTATTTTCTCTTGTATTCAATATATATAAAAAGTTATTCCTTTACTTTGTGAAAATTTTTACCGTTAAAGTACATAATATAGTTAGGGTTCTGTTACTACCTACCTACCTATATTTATATAAATAAACCATAATTAAACTTATTTTAACCAAATATTTTTTGCCTGTATATTTTTACCAGGCGCTGGGGGGAATTTTAATAACATTGTTCGATATCTTAATTCCATGATAGGTACAGCATCGAGGATGGAAAACCCAGGAAGAAGCAAATAGGAAGCAAAATATGAACTATGAAATAATCGATAATTCATTATAGTGAGTACAATAGGATAGGTGACCAGCCATTCTGACATCAGAATGGACGGTCACTAATATTGTTGTGGTTCTCCCAAGATACTAAGGAAGCAATTGTCTTGTAGTAGGAATCAAATAGAAGCAATTGGGAAGTAATTTTTAAACGACATTTTAACCTTCTACACGACTAGTGACCAGCCATTCTGACGCTCACAATTTCAGGGCTACTGTTTCGAACTAAAAACTTATTATATTACTACTAAATCTTTAGTTAATGTTTAACTCTCGACGTGACTGTATGCCTGTCTGTGGCATAGTAGTTCCTAAACAAATGGACCCATTACGATGCTTTTTTTTTACTAGAAATGGTGATGCAGCACCAATGTGGTTCAGGTTTCTTAAAGTTATTAGTTTTAAAGAATATTTTATTATTTTTAGGCCAAAATACCGATACCCGTACTATGATGAGAATGGCAAGGGAAAGTTATTATATGGTTATGGAGGACCGGAGCTGTATCAATATAAATCCTACACACCATTAGAAGGAATTCACTAAATCGATTTTACATCTAGTACATCTTGTGATCTATGTATAATATATGTGGTACCCTTTATTGTTGTAGATAGATAATAAAACTGGTTTTTAAGGTATTAGTAAAACGATGTTGGCGATGGAGGTCCTACGTTAGTCAACGCCTAAAAGGAAGAAGTCTCTAATATAGTTATTGATTTTCGCTATGAGTTTTCCTTCTTAGTACGTTTAAGTTTGTTAAATTTTTTTATTAACCTATTTACTTAAAGACTATGAAAATATATTTTAGAAAATATTTAACTATATTAAAACAAAGATTTAATTATTAGGTATATTTTACATTTATTAAATAAAATATTATGTGTTTCAATTACTTACGAGTTTGTATAATGTTGATTAAACTTACGTGAAGTGCAAGGTTGTTCATTGTAGGAAATATTTGACACATTAGCTGCGTATTTTATATTTACCTTGTAAATAGCATCATCACCTTAAAATGCCTTTGTGGCCATGTGTTTGGTTTATTTCATATTGAACCTCAAGTCCTAGTTTCTATTGCATGGTTTTATAGGACTTATATTAGTTAAAATTGAAAAATTCGTTTTTTAAAAAAATTACACAATCCACATTGACTGAAAGGATGATGCCAGAGGAACTATGTACGCACACCAAATAAGTAACTATAACAATTAGAATAGTCTCTTTCGGTTGTCTATGTACTCTCCTGTGATACTTTCATGGAAAGCGTCGTCCTGAGGAAACCATGCCTTAGACCCCAAAACTTCGGCAGTATGTCAGGCACTTAAGACTGATAATCTAAGTACCTACTTGAATATTAGAAAACAAATGATCAAGAAACGGATACAGAAATCTGAGGCTCAAAAAATAAAGGGCTGTAGCTATGTATTCTCATTTTAGAAAATCAAGAAAGATGCCAGTAAACCTATTTTATCTTGTAAGATTCCTAGTTACCCAAATAACTCAAAATTGATAACTATTTATAAGCTTCATCTTAACAAGTCCACCTTGAATTCAGTGAACTCATCATACAAAACTACATTATTTGCACACTATAGTTACATGTTTATATTTACTGTACACTAGACTGCCAGTATTTCCTTCTATTCATCATTTGTTATTAGCGACTTGTAGGAATAGTCAAGCAAAATGCTGAAAGTTATTTTTATTTTGGCAATGTTAGTTCTGTGTGAAAGTGTGTTATATTCAAGCTTTTGGGCGCCATTATTTAATCCCAGAATTTTAAATTATCGTGTTAATTTACATTATGACCCTAATGGAGGTAAAAACGCTAGGGAAGAGTATACGAGAAAATATGGTATCGGAGGTCAAAAATTAATTGACGATCTGGGTAACGGTAAAGGTCCAAGTGAAAATGATCAGAATGTAAGTATATAGACGTAATTTAGCCTTTAATATATTAAAAACAAAAGGCAGAGGTGAACTTGATGTTAAAGTTATTTTTAACTGATATTTTTTTATAGCTAAACACACAAATTCTAATATATCTTAATTGATTTACAGATCAGTGAAGATGTTAAGTTTTATTATACATATCCTGGAGCCAAAAACTTATAAAATGGAAAAATGCAACCACTTCACAAACTTGTCCTGCTTGGTGTCCAACAATAAAAAAATATCTAATTTAATTTATACATTAGTTATTAATGTAATATAGAAATCTTAATATATATAAATTACGTGTCACGTTGTTTGTCCGCGATGGACTCCTAAACTACCGAACCGATATTAATCAAATTTGCACACCGTGTGTAGTTTGATCCAACATAAAAGATAGGATAGCTTACATCTCGATTTATACCCGCAATATTATTTTATTGCAAAATATTTGTTTATTATTTGACACAATTCTAACAGATGGCGCTGTGTTGAAAGTACCAACGTTTCACATAAGCTACATTTTAGTGGCATAACCACCAAAGAAGCATGGTGGTCCCCATGGCTGGTGTTATCCTACCGTTTCCCTTGGATAGTTTACCACTATGTGATATAACAAAAACCTTAGCCACAGCAACGCTTGGCTGGTCTGCTAGTATTTTTATAATTAAAAGTTAGTTATGTACTTATGTGACTTGTTTAATGATACTTAAAACTAATTACATTCTTCTTTTTGATGTGCTAATATACAGCACATTATTTCCCCTTATAAATGCATCACCATATTTGTTTTTGAGCTGTCCATTCACATATTCCTCTGTTTGTTCCAAAGCAATATTCATGTAACCGTCCAGACAGGCAAGAACTCCTATAATAATAAAAGATTAATGTAAAAGGAAGAATAGTGTACTAAACCTAAAACTATAAGACAAGGTAAGAAATAAAAAAATATTGAGGCACAAGTGAGCAGGTCACACAGCTTGCATCAGTAACAATAGCTGGATGAATTGCCCTGGATGGTCGTCCTCTTGCACTGTAGGCTGACACCAGCTTGAAGTTAGGTTAGGGGAAGATTGGCAGAAATATGCTCAGGATAGAGAGAGATGGAGCGAGTTGGTGTAATAGTTTACTCTTTAAGAGAAACTATATCTAGTATATATATATATATATATTATAGTTTTGTATTTAAGTATGTATTAATGAAAGTATGTGTATATTTTTTGTAAAAAATGTTATTTCACAGAATAAATTAGCCTTAATAAAAAATTCAAAAGCAATAAAGTAACCAATATATTCAGTTTAACACTGACCAAATTAACAAGAGTTGCATTCATTTCATTCATCATGCATTGTTCCATTACATAAAAAAATTACTAATTAATGATTTATTTTTTCATTACGAAAATATATTTATTTTCTTGCAAATAAAAATTATTTATTTTATTTATTCTGTTAACGTAGGTCTCACTGAAATCGTATGAGAAATAAATTTTACCCTGTACAAATATCACTATATTAAACAAATACGATATTAAAACCTATAAGCCAAACATTTTAAATTGTGCAACGCTTCTTTGTCGAACCTGAGTAATAAATAATAATAATAAACTTTTATTGTAAACATAACCTTAATAATTTCTGTAAAATTTTACCTCTATAGTCGACACCGCTGTTTAATTTCACAACAACGGGACGCCCATGTATTTGTTGAATAAAAGAAGAAAGAGCTTCTTTGCGACTCATTTTTATTTGGAATTTCTATTCGCAAGATTAATGTTTAATTATTTATAAAATTAAAAACAGCGCAATCATCTGAGTTGTGAGTTGAGTACTGAGTACTGAGTAGGAGTGAGACGTATTTACCATACCAGGTTTGTAAACCAGGGCTTTGCTTCGAAGGACGGCGCCCTGGTACGGGAAGGAAATACTTGCAAGTATGAAAGTATTTGCTGTGCTATCGGGCGAGAAAATACTTGCATAGGAAATCGATCCATCTTATTATACAAATAAGAAGCAGAATCGTATTTGCAACAAAAAATACGTGAAACTTGCAAGTATTTTTTTCACTGAGACGATTATGGTCTTTATTCTTAAAGTAACACGAGTCAATTTCCTATGCAAGTATTTTAGTATTTTGCCGTGAGCCCTTCGTTTACAAATAACCGTCATATACTGATCAAAATAAGGAACATAATTGTATTAACATTCAATAATCGTAACTTTACTCTTTCTTTTGACTAGTTCACGCTATTCATTCTTATGTCTATACACAAAAGACACATAATTGCGTGTACAAAAGAATTGTTTTAAAAAATATACTTATGTGCCACTTAAAGTTTGTTTATTTCAAGTAATAGTTTAGTTTCCGTTTTTTTATTTTTTGTCAGTTGTGATTTGAGTGCGAGCTTGTTACGTCAACGACTAACCGTGACCTAAATTACAAGCAATTTTTCGGGAGTTTATTGATTTTAAAGTCAATTTTCGATTTATTATATAATATAAATTAGTGAGTGTATAAATGTATAAAACTGTTATTTTTTTAATACTGTGTTTAGTTTAGTTTCATGAGTTTAAAGGACCGACAATTTTTGAACTCGAAATAGGTAATAGAGTGTAAATAAAACTGTGATTTCGTCATTAGATAATAGTTAAGTTACAAATATTTTTTCCGAAGTTTATTGAATTTAAAGACAATTTTCGAACTATTAATAGTGAGTGTATAGATGTATAAAACTGTTATTTTTTTAATTCTGTGTTTAGTTTAGTTTCATGAGTTTAATGGACAGACGATTTTTGAACTCTAAATAGGTAATAGAGTGTAAATAAAACTGTGTTTTCGTTATTAGATAATAGTTAAAATACATAGTTAGATAGGTAGAAACTTGTGCTAAATAATAATATAGTCACAAACCATGGCTCCAAAGAAAAGTTTGGCTTGGGATCATTTTGTGGACAAAGGTGAAAATAAAGCTGAATGCAAAATGTGCAAAGTCATTATCTCATACAAATCAGGAGTGCCAAACCTTACCAAGCATGTACAAAGAAAACATATTTCCGTTAACTTAGTGAGAAGGGAACAACAAGTGGATCGTCAAGAAGAACAAGAGGTACAGGCGCATACTTCACAAACTGCACAAATTACGGCAGTCAATACTGCTATACAAACTATCGCATCTAATACGATAAGGTCCAATCCGAACCCATCCAGTATTACAGCATTCCTTCGGCGCGATTGTCAAAAAATAAAAAAACAAATTGATGATCATTTAATGAATTTGTTCATATGGGACTTACAGCCTTTTTCAATAGTAGAAGACAAAGGATTTCGCGAATTAATAAATTTTGCTTTCCCAAATTATACAATACCATCACGAAAGTATTTCGCCAATAATTTATTGCCGGGGCTATATGAAGAAATAAAGATAAATACAAAAACAGCTTTAAATGAAGATGCAAAAAGTGTATGTTTAACGACCGATATGTGGACGTCACGAAATAATGATTCTTACCTAGCCGTTACGGGTCATTACGTAGATAAAAATTTTATCCTTCAGTCGGTTTTACTGGAATGTAAAGTATTTGAGAGCAGTCACACGGCACTTCATATAGCACAAGAATTAAGAAATGTGGCTCAAGATTGGAACATTTTAGATAAGGTCCTCCTTGTAGTGTCGGACAACGGGGCTAATATAAAAAATGCCATACTTCAATTAGAATGGAGACATTTTGGCTGTTATGCACACACACTTAACCTAGCAGTACAAAAAGTGTTATCCCACTCAAACGTAAATAGCATAATAGGCAAAGTAAAAGCCATAGTATCCTACTTCAAAAGAAGTAATTTAGCCTGGAATAAATTAAAAAAGTACCAGGAGCAGGCCAATAAAGTAGTGAAGAGGCCAATTCAAGATGTCGCTACAAGGTGGAACTCCACATTTTACATGATAGAGAGGTTTGTCGAACTGAAAGACGAAATCAAATGTGCTTTGAGTAATTTAGACACTGGCAATTTGATTAATCTTACTACATATGAATGGGACATTTGCCAGTCTTTGGTAGTAGTGTTACAACCATGTGAAGAAGTGACAAGAGAGATGAGCGGACAGAAGTATGTTAGTGGAAGCTCGGTTATCCCCTTAACGATTGGTCTTACCAACGCTCTCAAAGAAATCGCAAGTCAGACATATCGGCAAGAAAATAATATTGACATTTTTCCTGATGAAGTGGAAATGTGTCGACAGGATCTGCTTTCAGAAATAGGCACGCGGTTTTCTAATTTGGAACAAAGCCGAACTTATACCGTCGCTATGTTTTTAGACCCGAGATACAAGTTATACTTTGAGAACGAAAATGTTGCAGACAGCACTAAAAAGTATATTGTGGGCTTAGTAACCGCGATGATAAATGAAAATGAAAAAAATCAGTCTTCAGCATCCACTTCTCATATATCAGATAGCCAGGGAAAAAATCTAACAGCCTATTATGGAAACACTATAATAAACAAATGCACAATGTGCGGCCAGCTGGCACAGCCAATAGCAGAGCCATAATTGAGACGCAAAAATATTTAGATGACACAGTTTTGTCTCCAGACACAAATCCTTTGGAATGGTGGCGAATAAATCAGCAAATATATCCAAATTTAGCCAAACTAGCCAAAATTAAATTAAATGCAATGGCTTCTAGCGTGCCTTGCGAACGTCTATTTTCAGTAGCAGGGAACATATTGACGGAAAGGAGATCCCGACTCGGGAGTCGAAAATTAGAGCAATTGTTGTTTCTCCAACAAAATAAAAAATGATGATTGAGAATTCTATATATATATATATATATATAATAAAAAAAAGTTGTACATATATAAAATGAAATGAAATCTTTTAACTACGCCTGCTAATACTATATTTCACAACTAGCTGATAAATGACCGTAACACTATTAGTAGCAGACAGTCCTAAGCCTGTGATTAACAAAACAAAGTAGGAAGGAAAGATTTCATTTATAAAAAGCCGTGCAAGATTGTGGTACACACACTGTACGATACGATTGCCACCAAATACTTTCAAGTATTTTTATACCTGGTTTTCGTACCTGGTATTTTTACATACTCGTACTTGGAAGCCCTGGTATTGAATTTTGCAAGTATGTCTCATCCCTAGTACTGAGTTCCGACTTCTGGACTCTGGTTCATAAATCATAAGTTGAAAGTTCAATCATCAGACGTCAGTCAGTACGGTTGTAACTGACAAATGACAATTGACATTAACTATGTATATTCAGTAAATGGCACGCCTAACAGGTTCTGTTGGGTGTTACCCTCAACCTTACCTGAAGCGAGAATCGTTTATTGAAAGCATGGCCCACCTTCTGCTAGCGGCCAATCTTTAACTGCCAACCATGGATTTTCGTAAATAGAAAATATAAAAGTTAAATTTCCGCATGCCATCACAATCTGCATCTCAACTTGTAGCCACAATCCTCTATAATGCAAGTCAAGTCCAGTCCAATCCAATCATGCTAATCCATGAATGAATTAAAACGTGGTATTTCCGCTTTATATAGTACAACAAACCGAGGTAAATGGTGTGCTTCACAGCCCGCGTGATGCACCGCGGGCAAATACATAAACTATTGAAACTTTGACATCTGTAAATAACTCTGTAAAAGAAATACCGGAATAAATATAAATGCCATTAATAACCGATGAAACCTTGTTCCGCGTCAAGCAAAATCCTCAAGTCGAGATAAATAGTTCGCTTCGTTGTTCGCTCACGCGGCAGCCTGACCTGTACAAAATGAAAATAAAATTCCGCAATAGAAACACCAGTGCAAATATAAAAGCGTTTAAGTAGGTACCGTTTAGCGTCCCTCGTCAAGCAAAACCCTCAAGTCGAGGTAAATAGTGCGCCTCGCTCGGCAGCGCCGCCAGCCAATACTCAGTCACCTCAAATATGTGAAAATATTATACAGATAAAAAAACATCGCGAACCAATAATTATTTTGAGTTTTATTCTGTTGAAATAAGTTTTTGCGACCAACGGTGATTTTGGAGTACTGTTATCATTTGTCCTATCCAGGTTCACACTTGCAACGGATGGAGGGGGTAAAAGCATTCCAGATCCACTCATTTTAAGCTCGTCGACAATGATGGTGTGCCGAGATGCTGTGTTTTTTTATCCACTGGAGGGTAACCCTGCTTGTCAGTCCAGTACATAGTAAAACTCTAGTATTAGTTTGTTGTTTGTCTTTTCTATATTATCTAACTCCATCAGAACAGTACTAGTAGTAGTATAACGGTATAAAGCGCAAATTCGACCCCTCATGGAGTACTGTTCTCACCTTTGGGCGGGGGCTCCCTAGTACCAGCTCCTTCCACTTGACCGTATTCAACGAAGAGCGGTTCGAATCGTCGACGACCAATCCCTCTCCGAGCGGCTTGATCTGCATCTTCTACCGCATTTACCATGGAGAGTGTTCAGAGGATTTGTTCGGATTAATACCTACAGCTGAGTTTCATCATCCGACGTCGAGCAGGATACGAAATTCCACCTGTATCACCTCAACGTCCGCCGTTCCACAAATGAGGGTTTTTCAAGGCAGTTTTGGCGCGCACCACCACTATGTGAAACCAGCTGCCCACTGAAGTATTTCCGAACAGAAAAAGGGGGCTTACTATTAAGTTAACGATTATCTAGTTGATAAAAAGGCCTGGGACTAGTGCTAGACAGGCTACTTCTAATTAATTTGCGATATTCGTTTTAAAATAAGTGTTGTTTGATGATTTTGCTATTTTAAAAGAGTACCGAGAGGTTTTTTCTCTCGGCCTACACCCTTTGTTTTCTTTGCCGATGAGTAGGGATGCCATCAGTTTCAAATTTATGACGTGGAATAAGTGATACCTGTATCTTATGTTCCATAATAAATATATTTTTTATTTTACAACCATTTGTACCATCAGCAGAAAAGCTCTTCTTGGACCGTGAAAATAGACCGCCTCTGATTTCGCGAAGGCGATTTGAAGCCAATACTCCAAATAAATATATTGATATTAGGCTAACACCTTGCAGTAGTGAGACACGAAGCAAAACAGTAATATTAACCAATGTTCCACGGGTGTAGGCCTAAGACAGACACCTGTAGAACACCGCACTGAAGTTCTGTTCTGGACAATAAAGTTCAATTTATAATGAATTATACTAATAAATGCAATTTGAATTGCAAAAGTTACCTACTAATTTCTTTAAGTAAGAATAGGGTTGCCATAAATGTAAAACATTTGTTTTATGCATTTATTTTCACTTACATAAGTTATTAATTAATTTATATTAAACTTAAGTTTTCTCTTTTGGGTCTAATGTAGTCCATATAAATCCTGAATAGTTATTTAATTCATTTTCTGTTAATGGGTATGGACTATTGCTGGCTTTGTAATAGTCAGATGGTGCATGCATTACAAACTCCATGTAGTCCAACTTACGGGGCAAATCTTCTTCTGGACCTGAAAAAGTTTGACCTTAGATTAAAAAGGAGTGTTGCATTTGTATAGCCTTATATTTTAATGCCAAAAGTGCCATTTTAGATGGTCTAATTGAAATAAATGATTTGACTTTGACTTTATTTAACTCTATTAGAACACAAGAACAGAGCGTCTTCCCTTTAATAGAGACTGTAAGTAGTGTTAGTGTAGTGGACACTTTCTTATGTAAAAATCCTTATTAGTAAACCAGGTTAGACTTAAATTACTTAATAGTCCTAAGTTAGGCTAGATTGTAATGTTCCATGATGTCTTAGTAAAGACACATGTATAAAAATGTAAAAATGGTAACTAAAGGAATTAAATAGCTTTTATGCTTTCTCTAACTTACCACCTAATCATGTCAACTTTAATAACATGTTTCCCACAGTTAGGGCTACTAACGACTTTTGCCATTTTTATATAATCTTGTTTGAATTCTTACAACCCCCCCAATAAGGCATAAGGCAGACACATTTCTGCATCTATTTCATTAATCATATAGACAATATCAGCCTTCTGTTCCTGATACAAGTTTTTGATTTTTTTGGACTAAAGAAGAAATAGTTGAGTGAGGCATACTGGTTTCCTGACAATCTTTATCACACCATATGAAAATCAAGTGTTATTCAAATAAACCTATGCATGCTTAACACACTAATTACTTTAAATGTATGCACTTAAATCAATTATATTATGTGAGATGTTCAATTTATGCACTATTATACAACATTTACCTATAATATAGGTTGCTGGATCAAAACCCTTTTCTGGGGGTGGACTTGCTTTAGTTGGCAAGAGCCAGGTTACAACAGCACTCTTTTCACAATACTGATCTGTAAGGAATCCTCTGATTTGAGCATAATATGTCCCACCCATTACGTCAAGCATAGACACAATATCACCCACTTGCATGTATGATCCCTAAAAAAAATTAATTTGAAACAAAATTTGTATAATAATAACTTCTCCAATAACAGCAATAAATTTTTTTTTCACAAATACTGTAGTATTAAAGGATTCATGTAAAGCTTTGGAATCATTACATAGATTACCTATATTGCAAGATATATTTTAAGCATGAAATATTTTTTTTAAATTACCACAATCTAGTTGGCCATCATATCTTTTTTCTGTTGTAACTATATTAGCATTGTTTTTATTCAAAATTCATTGCTTGCAAAGTGAGACTTTACTTAGGTTTAATAAAATAAATAAATTAGCATTACTAAAGAATTGAGCAACAACACAGAGCATAAATTTAGACTCGGAATCTTACTATTAAATGCTTAAATGTTTAAGCATTTGACAAATAAAAATAGAGTACCTTATAAAAAATAGAATCACTTGTAACAACAGTAGCCGTTGCAGTGGGTGCTTTTAGAGGCTGTCTCTTAAAAATACTTCTGCGCCCACGGCCTCGCGGTGCAGAGGGCTTTGCAGGTGTTGGAGCAGGAGTTTTTGATTTGTATCTAGTAGCACGAGTACTTTTCCGTGTACCTTTTCCAGTGGCTTTTGCTGGCGTAGAATCTCCATCACTCTTACCATTCCTGCTGTCCATATCTTCCTTGTCATCTTTTTTATCTTCAATCTCTGTTTTTATATTTGTTGTTAGTTCCATTTCCTTACTTGCTGCATTAGCTAAATGACATTCGTTGCATATCTGACCGTTTTCTGCGCTACGCCATAATAAAGAATCATTGGTACTGCATTGAACACAAATCGGCTTAGGCATATTAATTGATCATTTGCTGTGCATCTAGTTAGTACCAAGAAAACTTAAAATATACAAATTAACAATAATAATTTTTTTTATTTTAAAAATAAAAAATTATTTCAATTTTATAGATAATTTCATTAATGATGAAATAAATAGTATAAATAATTACTTTATATGAAATTAGTGAAATTACAAAGAGTAACTCATTACTGAATACTGAGTTTGTTTTGGACACAGATTACGGATCATACAGTCAGATTTTTTTTTTTATGGCTCTGGCACGGTTTGTGCATTAGCCAGCGTCAAGTATAAGATTTTTATAATTCGTGCTTTTTTTGCCTTAGAAATTCGACCATGTCCTCTATGTACGATTTAGGCACTCGCCCAGTATCGCACAACCAACCCAAAGGCCGAGAACAAATTTAAATTAAATTATAACTTGCCCTCGAACCGGGAATCGAACCCGGTACCCCTCACTATGAGGCCCCTGTACAGTCAGATTATGAAGAATTAAGAAATAAGAATACAATTGACCAGAGAGCAGAGACTACTCACTAATAGTTTATAGAATGAAGGTAAATTTAAAATGCCATATATGTCACCGTAAATTTAAAATTGTAAACACCTTTAGATTGTAATTTACCTCGCGAGATTGTGAACTGTCGAAAGATTGTGAACTGTCGAAAGATTGTGAACTGTCGAAAGATTGTGAACCTCAACGCACTGCTTACAATTTAACGTATTATTATTCGGTGGCGCGTGGCATATTCCGTTCAAGCAATCAGCGCGCGAGGTACGATCCGTAGGTGACATATACATTACAATGATCTTTCATCTTATTCATAATGCATAATATAACAATCAAACCGTTCGATTCGAATATCCAGTGTGCAAAAATTTTCATGAAATAACATTTTTATATTAAAGTAGCATTTATTGCACATTTAAATCGGTTAGTATCTAGAATCGAGACTTACGAATTCGAAGGCGTAGTCCAGTGTGACCAGATTTAGTAGATTTCTACTTTTTTGGTAGATTTTGAGGTACTGGCAACAGAATTTAGTATGTAAAAATTATTTGGTATATTTTAGTAGAATTCACGTTTATCAGTTATTCTAGTAGGTACTTTTTTGGCACATCGAATAAATGCGGGGTATTCCCCTTTCATCGATTGGGTGGTAAGTTCTATTGAATTTTCGTTATTTTCGTTACTATAAACCATTCGTTCCGTGACTCGTGAGCATATTGTGATTAGTGGGAATACCTTTACTGAGAATTTATATAATCGAGTATATAATGAAACGTAAATATACACAAATATATCGCGATGAATGGGAGCAAGATCCCTCATTTAAAAGTTGGTTGTCTAAATCTAGAGTAAACACTACGAGTGCTCATTGTAAAGCATGCAACTGTGAAGTACTAAGTAGAGTGGCATCTTTAAAGGAACATATGGCTACATCAAAGCATATAAAAAACATGAAAGGATATTCCGGCATTTCTAAGGTACGTAAGGTACTTACATTGATATGTGGAATGTAAGTCTTAGTTAATTATTTTTGTTAAAAAAAATTTAATACTTTCATCGTGAACCCGTATTATGTTCTAAACCTTATGATTTCCATTCAAAAACAAACTTTCGCTGTTTTAAGTATGTTTATTATCTACACATTTACATAACAATTATTATTATACAACTATGTGTGTTTATGCATGTTTATTTATTTAAATGATATATTAAAACTAGCAGACTCGGCCAAGCGTTGCTGTGGCTAAGGTTTTTGTTATATTACATAGTAGTAAACTATTCAAGGGAAACGGTAGGAGAACGTATGTGAAAGGTAGCTTATGTGAAACGTTGATACTTTTAACACAGCGCCATCTGTTAGGGGTAGGAGAACTTATCGTTAGAATTGTATCAAATAATAAACAAATATTTTGCAATAAAATAATATTGCGACTATAATTTGAGATTTAAACTACCTTTTAATTTGGATCAAACTACACACGGTGTGCAAATTTGATTGATATCGGTTCGGTAGTTTAGGAGTCCATTGAGGACAAACATTGTGATACGAGATTTATATATATTAAGATTGCTTAGTTTTTGACTTTTTTTTTTGTCCTGCATACTTATTTTTAACTTTTTTGTTTACAGATTGATACGATTTTTAAAACATCAACTATTTCGGAAGAAGTAAAAAAAGCAGAAATCAGCATTGTAGCTGCATTAGTGGAACATAATATTCCTTTTCGCGTAATGGATCACGTAAGCGAAGTTATTTCAAGGGCATTTCACGACTCTGAAATCGCAAAACGTTTTTCCTGTAGAAGAACTAAATCTGCCGCAATTGCTTACAACGTCTTAGGCAATAACTTCGAAGAAAAAATGCTTGCAGAATTACGTCCAAGGCTGGAAAATGAAACTGAGAGAAGCCCAGTATTTTCGCTCATTATCGACGAAAGCACAGATGTCAGTACTACCAAGGTACTTGCAGCAGCAATAAAGTACTACTCAGAAAAATTGCAATCTCCACAAACAAAATTTTTGTGTATGGTGGACTTAAAAGGTGAAACTGCGCAGTATTTGTTTGATAGTTTAACATGTGCCTTATCTGAAAGAAACCTTAACATAGAAAATTTAATAGGGTTCGCTGCTGATACAACGAATGTTATGTTTGGCGAAAGGAATAGCGTGGTATCTAAAATTAGGGAAGTCAACCCAAACTGTATTTTTTTTAAATGTATTTGCCACTCAACAAATCTTTCAGTAAGTTATGCATGCAAAAAATTACCTCGTTCTATAGAGTTGTTTGTCAAAGATGTTTATTCATACTTCTCTCACAGTAGCCAACGTCAAAGAGAGTTTGTCGAATTTCAAAATTTTACTGACACTCCAACTCACCATATGCTTCGTCACTATGATATCAGGTGGCTTTCTCTACATCAATGCATTCACCGAATTATAGAGCAGTGGTCAGCATTAAAACTTTTTTTCAAAATGAGTTTTTAGGAAATAAGAATGCAAATGCTACTTGTCAATTTATATTTGATCACCTTAACAGCGATGAAACAAAACTTTATCTTTCCTTTTTAGATTTTATATTACCCATAACTACAAAATTTAACGTTATTTTTCAAAGTGATCAGACGCTCATTCATAAAATTGACACAGATATACAAAACATGATGAGTTCCATTTTGAGTTGTTTTATGAAGATAAATTATATTAAAACTACTTCGCTTCAGTCAATAGATCCCAGTTCAAGTATGCATTTCCTTCCTATACAAAACATGTACCTGGGCACAAACGTAGCCATAACATTGGAATTATTAAAAGATGATGTTCGAATGAAATCTAAAATTGAAGAGTTTCTTAACAGATGTCAAGCATTTTTGATCGAGCTAAGTAAACAATTTCTCCAAAGACTGCCTGTACAAGATAATTTCTTGCAGGATTTGTCGTTTATCGATCCCCAAAAGGCAGTGTATGGTGAATTTCGAACTCTAATAAAAAATACTACAAAGGTTTCCTAACTTAGTTACAACAGAAAATATGCAAATTGTTGACAACGAATATAGGGAATTAAAATTAGATGTTTCCGTGTCTAATTTATTGTCAACTTCGAGTTCAACTTCTGAAAATTTTATGGTGGATAAATTTTGGAGTGAGGTCAGCCAAATTTGCGATGCGAATAGCAAACCAAAATATGGCAATTTGGCCCGGTTTGTGAAGCAAATGACAATACTACCTCTGTCTAACGCCAAAGTTGAAAGAATATTTTCCGATATTAATAGAATTAAAAGTCAAGATAGAAATCGTTTTAATAACAAGAATGTTGCTGCAATTATGCATGGAAAAGAGGGGCTACGACAGTTGGAAGGAGGATGTAGCAGATTTGATCCTGACAAAAGTATGATCAAGCTAATGGACTCAAAACAGCTTTATGACAATATCCAACATAACGACGAAAAATCTTAGCTTTAAGTTTCATTTTATTATTATTAATTTAAAAAAAATTGTAGTAAGAATTAAATTAAAAAAAACTTCGCTTCTTTAATTAATCTTTACTACTTTTATTATTTTATCGTTTAATCAAGAAAATTCATGTTTTACGTTGTAAACCAACAGCAAAAAAATATAATAGATTTTTTGTATTTTCTCGTTCCTTTCGGTAGAATTCAGTAGTTTTTAACCTCCACGAGCAGTAGATTCGTCAAATGAAATCTGGTCACACTGCGTAGTCCTGACAGCCTTAGTGCTGTTGCTCTTTTGAGAGTGTTACGGGCGCTGTACCGGAAGATGTGTTCTTTGAAGACATATCAGGCATATATAGCAATCATTCGCCGCATGCGAATAATTAGATAAAGATGATAGCAAATTGAAGAAAAAAATTCCCTGCACTGTCATATTTATCACGAATAACATGAGAAAAGTCATAAATGAATACTAAACAGAAAGTTAAAATTTCTTAATGTTTTAAGAAGTTTTTAAATGAAAGTTCTTAGCTTTAAAGCCCAAGTAAATATTTACTTAATTATTAGATTTAATAATTTATGGGAACAGTATTATACCATTATGTAAGTGAACTAATAAATTGTGCTTTCTATCAAAAAGCAATTTATTCAATCAGATTATTTAAAAAAACGAAGAGTCAAAGCATGATGATTAGCCTTTCTTAATAAAATGACTGTCCAACACGAAAAAAATCAAATCAAATCTTTTTGAGATTAGTGCATTCAACCAAGTCATGAACTTAATTTTAATTTTAAAACATGGTGTTTTGTAAACTTAAATTGTATAGAAAAATAATTATTATGAAGGCCCATACTGTGAAGATTAGCAAGTTGTTACTTCAAGATAGACATGTAACAGTTAAAATTATCTGATAATATTATTGGACTCTTAAACCATTTCCTTATCGTTTTACTTTTATTGATATTTATTCAACTATCTGTTAACAACGAGTCTATTGACTCAAGACTTAGGAAGTTACTGAACATTTTGGAAGAAT